GCTTAGTAATAACGGACGAAAAAACGAAAACACCAATTGTTGACCTGAGTACTCTGTATTGTTACACCAACATATAAATCAAGTATGACTAAGGTTTCTGGCAGTTTTTTACTCTTCTTTCTGAACAGCGACCGATGAGACGATGACTGTCGTATTGATGCCTCCGCGAAAATTGGGGAAGTTGGGTTTGAGCGAACAACCATGAATTGATCGTTCAATCTTCAACTACATTGACACTCCGCGGCTAAAGAGGGATCCAACCCTTTTTTCCATCACGACCAATACACGTTGACTTGGATGCCATTGCGAGAACCTGGGTCACACGGACAGAGCTGAAATGGAAAACAAACAGAAAAGCCAACACACCACAAGCATACTTACAGCACTATCTCACACATCAATGACGACCTGAGCCTTCCAGTTAAAGGCATCCTCTTGCAACACAATCTCCACTTGCTAGAATGACTCTTGCAGAATGCAACGTGGCCATAGCACCACCTCACGATACTCCACGCACATCCTCTTATCCACTCACTACCAATTACCACTGCAATCGCTTGTCACTCATTCTGCCTCAATTCTAGTAACGATGACGTATGCGAGCCTCAGTCGTTTACACTCTTTCTCCCCGGCGTGTGGGACCACAGCTAACAATTATCTCCGTGTGCATTTCATTCTCAGAAATAGCCTCCCCAGCGTATACGACCCATCTGCTCTCTTGAACATCAATCAATTCATTCACGGATGTAGAAGAGTGGACACAACTTCAGAAGTAATCACGACGAAAATTTTAACAAAACTATGCAATAACAACAAGGTACGAAAACAACGAATAAACACAATGAATCCAAAAACACCAATTGATATGACACACCACACTTATATACAAACAGTACACACAAACTCGCGGATCATATCTTGATGGAATTCCTTTGAAGAATCTCAGGACTTACACCTGTAGGCCTGCAATCCTTCACAGGTTGACGATTGTAATTTGTGGAATGTCCGGACACAAACAGAATTACCAACAGCTAGATGACAGATGATATCAATTCAGTATATACAATATGAACATATGTACAAAATCACACACCAAACACATTGGACTGCTCATTGATGCGCTACCCTTTGAAGAATTGTAGGACTTACAGCAGTACGCCTACAACCCTTCTCAGGTTGACGCTCTAGGTTGGAAAATCGTCTAGTGTTTCATCCTCCGACTCTCTACTCTCAACACCTTCCAGTAGACACAGTTTTCTGATATCTCGCACCAACATGCCAAAACTTGTTCTCACGTCAACCGTCCTCACCAATCCATCACCACTACAGAGTAGCCTTACTACCACTCCCAAAGGCCACCTACCTGTGGCATATTTATCTGCTACTAATACTATGTCACCAACCTCTAAGTTTCGGCACAACTTTCTCCACTTGTCTCTGGTTTGCAGTGTTGGAACATACTCCTTTAACCATCTTTTCCAAAATATATCTTTCATGTGCCTGGCTTGTTTCCATCTTTTAATCGTAGGTAATCCTTCCCCGCTTGAGTCCTCCATTCCAGGGTTGCCTCTCAACAACAATAATTTATTTGGGGTTAACACATCAAAATCCTTGACGTCGTCCCTCACAGGTGATAACGTCCGGTCATTTAATATTCGTTCAGCTTCACAAAAAAATGTCTCCAGCGTTTCGTCATTCAAACTCTGGTTTTTAATTATGGAGCTTAAAATACGCTTGATAATTCCTATAAGTCTTTCCCATAGCCCGCCTCTATGGCTGGCATGTGGTGGGTTGAAGTGCCACTCGATGTTCCTTTTCAGTAACTCTTCCTGAACTCTCGTTTGGGGACCTTCGAAGTACTCTTTAAGCTCGGCGTGACAGCCAACAAAATTAGTCCCTCTGTCGCTGAACATCATCTTCGGTACACCCCGGCGATTTATAAATCTATGTAATGCTAGCACGAATGAATCAGTAGTTAGCGTATGAACCATCTCAATATGCACAGCTCTCATTTTCAAACAGGTGAATAAACAGCCATATCTTTTACATAGGGTTCTGCCTCTCTTCACTACAAAAGGTCCGAAAAAATCCACTCCAACGTACTCAAATGGATAATTCCCTTCAGAAGCTTGCCACGCTGGGAGTGGTGCCATCATCTGCTGTACTGGACGAGCATTTCGGAGTTTACATTCCATGCACTTATCAATTATTTTACGGACAGCAGTACCTCCCTTCACTATCCAGAACTTACATCGAATACTTGATAGTACTTGCGAAGTACCCAAATGACCTTCAAGAACATGGTAGTGTCTTATAATGAGATCAGTGACTGGATGGTAGCAAGGTAATAAAGCCGGATGACGGGTCTCATATGACGATTCTAACATTTGTAGACGTCCACCAACTCTAGCGATCCCTTCGGAAACTATCGGAGATAATCTATCTAACCGCACCTTGAAATCTGCGAAATCGGGACTATCCTCCTTGGCAATCTCACCCTACGCTTCCCACTGAGCAGCCCTCAAAATCGCTAACTCTGCATTTCTAATATCTTCGACTCTCAAAGGTCCCACATTCATATTTTCGTATCCCGCAAGATGCATGACCTTTAAATACGTAACATATCGTGTCAACCACGCAACAGCTTGCAGTAGTTTGTACCAAGAAGAATAATATTTAAAAAGTGGATGTAAACCTGAATGTCTTTCTTGAGTAGATGTTAAACTGACACTTGTCTTCAACTCCAAGGCACACTCGTTTATCGGTGGTTAATGTTCTCTACGAGGCCACATACTATCAGCCCTTAGCAAGAACTCTGGACCTTTCCACCACTTATTTTTAACCACATTCATATCAATAACTCCTCGCGAGGCTAGATCAGCTGGATTTTTTCCAGACGGTACGTACCTCCACTGCTTAACAGTTGTTAGTTCACGAATTTGAGATACTCTGTTAGCTACAAAACATGCATATCTTGCTGACTCAATGCATAAGTCTCTACTGAAGATTTCGGTCCTTTCACCTTAACTGGTAATACCCCTAAGAAAACGTGGGGTGTCAAGGGGTCTAGAGATACTATTACAATTAACCGAATTCCCAGGTTCGTTTACTGTCCTCAGAAGTGGGTGCATATCCGTTAAACCACTACTTCCTTTGTTTGTCGCCTTACAATTCCACTTTGTATGCCCAATCTTTAAACAACTGAAACAGCCGCTTCTGCTTTGCCATTTTTAACCTTTCTACGGGCGACATAGCGATAAAGCGATTACAATCACTCAATTGATGCATGTTATGGCAAACAATACACTCATCCTTTCTCGTTGTGTCTTGATACTTCACCACAAATGCCTTCCTTATATTCACTGGTTTCTTAGGTTCTACCTTAGAATGCAAAATGCTGGCGAATTCGCCCATCTCCTGGTTGACACTGTCCTTCACCAGTCTAAGAATATCATCAAACCTTGGCTCGATATCCTCATCCTCTATACGAGAGCTTATCTTCACCCACTTCCTTTGCAGTCGAGTAGGTAGGCGTCTTGCTATTACTTCTAGTATAAAACTCGAGTTGAGATCACTCATGCAATTCATAGAAATCAAGGTATTCTTATAAGTCATAAGATTATCTAAAAACTCAGTAAGTGCCTTGGAGTCATCTTGAAGTTGACTGCCGTTACCTTTGACAGCTTCGTATACGTTCCTTACAATCATTGAAGGTCTTCCAAACCTTTGACGTAATATGCTCATAGCCTCAGCGTATTCCTCATTAGGGGGCATGAGCTCACAGCACTGTATAGCTCTTGCAGCATCTCCAGTGCAATACCTCATCAAATACATCAATTTCAATTCATCACTTAATAGAAAACTACTCAACATGATCTCAAACTCCTTTACAAATTGTAAATAATCAGCCGGGTTTCCATCAAAACACCGTGGTTCAAATTTAGGGAGTTTGATGTTCCTATTATCCATGAACGGCGAAACAGTAACATCAACCATGTGATGCTTAACATCAGACACATCGTTACAAGTAACAGACAAGTCACCATGACTTACTTTCCTGCTTGCATCCAAGACACTCTGTCCCTTCTTTGACCCAGGCATTGTTGAACTTGACCCAATTCCAAAAACGTTCCAGATATTGCTTGTTCAAAGAGGACTTGACCGGCACCAGGAAAGATGAACGGTGAATATCCAAACTGTTACCAGCTATCTGAATCGGCCAGAATCTGTTTCTACCGTCAGAAACTGTCAGTCACGTCTCGTAAACAGTTAATGCCCAGCTCTTGCTACGCTCGGGCTCACGCTGTCACTTGAAGTTTCTCAGAAACGCTTAGTAATAACGGACGAAAAAACGAAAACACCAATTGTTGACCTGAGTACTCTGTATTGTTACACCAACATATAAATCAAGTATGACTAAGGTCTGTGAACAAATATTACAATAATAAATCACAATATTACTTCTGACGGTGTTTAACTCTTTTTTCTGAACAGCGACCGATGAGACGATGACTGTCGTATTGATGCCTCCGCGAAAATTGGGGAAGTTGGGTTTGAGCGGACAACCATGAATTGATCGTTCAATCTTCAACTACATTGACACTCCCCGGCATAAATGTATCCAACCCCTTTTTTCCATCACGACCAATACACCTAGTTAATCCTGACTCTCTATCTTATACTTGTATAGAATTCTTTAGTTCAATTTAGTGGTCCGCTTGTGATTCCAAGACCTGCATATCCTAAAAACACTCTGGTGGGAAGTAATTTGTCAAAGACTGCTGATGCCCACGAAAATGACGTAGACTACTGCAACTAATTTACAAAGGTAATATCCCTGTCAAACTGACTCGTTCACCAGAGCGACAGATGTGCGTAGACCGTCACAGGCTTCAACACGTCTATCATAGGCATATTCTAAGTATTTGCACGTTTGTTTATATACGCCAAAGGCCCTGATAATATTTCAAGTTTGCTCACTTTGACCTTGCGGCGAACTCATGGATTCGTCTTTAATTGTAGCTGTAAGGTTGAGGCCATTCACGAAAAAGTAGGTCGCTATTATTGAGATTCATATTTTCAGTGAGGCTTCGGATGGGTCAGTGTGTCTGGCGAGTATGCCAAAACCTGGCATTGTTCATATATACGAACCTGGTCTCAAGAACAAAAATGTCCGTGAATATAAATATGACCACACATTCTGGTCCCTAGACACAGAAAAAAGTTCCATACCATATGCAAGTCAGGAAACGGTCTATACCACAATCGGTTATCCTTTACTACTCAAGACCCTCGATGGATTCAACACATGCATTTTCGCGTACGGCATGACTTCTTCAGGAAAGACCTATAGGTAAGAATTTTCACTGTTTATTTGGTTTAATATTGTGGTTCATCTCATGAGTTTTAAAAAATAGACATGACATTTGGACACTGTTATATATATGAACTTACTCGTTTTCAGTCGAGTGGCGTTGAGCATAGAGTGGTGCCTATCTTTTAATGAAGTTGTGTGTTATTGTAATGAGTTAAATTAATTGAAGCTGATGTAGTCACAATCTCAAAGTAAACTAAATGTATAGGTCGTGTCATTTAAGATATTTCACCTTATTGTTAGGAATGTTGCATAATCTGGATCTCAAATTAAAAGGATGTGTATTGACCTTATATATTTCAAATTTTACTTCACTGAACGTCACTTTAGTTCTGCTTCCTAATTTGACGTTCTGGTTGCATTTAATTCCACTTTTTCACAGGTTTACTATAATTTTCCTGTTGGTCTCATCCATTCATCAATAAATTAGAATTCTTCCTACATACACGAGTTATACCAGCATTCGGGCACCCTGAAAGGAGTGAATATACTGTGAATACATCGATTGTCCACAGAAAAGCTGATCTGATTTTTGTTTGTTGACATGTATCTGGGTTTGAAAAATGAAAAATCGCTGGGCAATCACATGAATCTCTAGACTGGACACTACCTTGCTGCTTACATCTTAATAATTTGAATGCAACAACTAAGCCATTAAGTTGCAGCTCACAGTTCATGGTGTGTGACATCCACCAGTGTCTCAACCAAAGCATGTAAAAGTCTATTGTTTTGCTAGTTTTTCCTATTCGGGAAAAGACACTGTGATGAACTTATTTTAAACAGATAGAACACTTCATCATACATTTTGAATAGTTCATTCGAATCCCTTATTAGTCTCTTAAGAAGTTTCTGTGAAAAGCCAATCTCTTTTGAGCGTATTAAAGCGCTATAAAACTAACTTCTCTCTGTGTCATATTCAACTCTGTTTTGTTACTATTATGAACTATTTTTACCGATGTTGAATTTCTGTTGGTTGTTACAAATTTAAAAAAAGTCATACCTTGAACGGTTTTAACTTTTCGTCCTCATTTTGGTTGATTACGAATTTCATTTTGTTTTCTTTATGTAGTATAACTGGTCCACCGAATGATCCAGGGATCATTCCTCGAATTATCAAAGACTTATTTGAAAATATTGAAAAAAGAACGGTAGTTACAGGAATTCTTGTCGTTTACTTTTTGTCTAGACATTCGATAACAATATCTCAGTCAAATGAGTTACTATGAGATATATAATGAACGGATACGTGATCTTCTCTGCCTAAATCCATCTGGAAACGGGGTAAGAATATTTGAAGAAAATGAAACGATGTTATTAACATAAATTTCCTTATTGTATACTTTCTTTATGTTTAATGGTAAGTTTATCAAGAAGTTACAGTAAACGGTATTTTACAGCGTGAAATAAACTAATTTTTCTTAGGCTTAATAGTTTTAGAATAATATGAAAGAAAAAGAAGTGTGGTGAGTAGAATTTAAGGTTAGTGGTTCAAGAGATGTTTTACTCGGGGATGGTCCGAGAAATCTTGCTTATTTGCGGTTTTTTTTCCGTGTTAAAAGATATTGGTAGTTATAATGTATAGAGAATAAAAAAATCGTTTTTTTTGATGAAAATGAAGCCAAATAATTTGAAATAAGAATAAAACTTTGGCACTGTGGTGGAGTATAATTCCATTATGAATAAAACTTTATTTTGATAAAATGAAACTGTGTAATACAGTAATATTTACTGATGATGTTTCGAGCAGAAATTATTGCTTATAATCATATCTAGGTACTCACACAACTTTCTAGCAGGAAATGAAATAATTTGAAAATCGGCATAGTTCTACTATTTTAGTGCAGAGAAGCATGTGTTTAATCCATTTAACTAGCAAGATTTCTTTTGGCTGTCAAATAGTTGTGTTTAGTCGAAATTAGTCTTGGATGCTGATGTTATGATATTAACACATTGGATTTTTTCAGTTGTATATTGAAATACAATTTTTCCTCCACAATTTCAAAAACAATTTCAGCTTGTGGTTCGTGAGCATCCAGTAACTGGCCCTTATATTGATGGTTTATTATGTAAAGATGTCTTTTGTGAGTCTGATGTCACTAACTGGCTTGATTTTGGAGGTCGTGTACGCACTGTTGCTGCAACTCCCTTAAATGAAAACAGTAGCCGGTCACATACTGTACTTGTTTTGTCGGTGACCAGGCGTTCCACTGTAAGTTTCTTAATTTTCAATGGATGATGTATATCTAGTAGAACTGAAGAAGTTAGACATATATATGAATATCTCTCAATCTATACGTGTGAAGGTTAGAGTTTTGAAGAACAGATTAGGCTTTAATAAGTCATAGAATACTTCTTTTGCAAACTAACCTTTTAAGGCATTCCTGAATTATATGATTAAATACTTTATTTTCTAATATCTCGCCACCGGTATATGTGGTCCCAACATCACCCCCTTTCTATTTAGTCAACTGTGTGGTACACATTAAGACTTTACTGTTATCCACCCGACCGAAAGCTGCTACCTTGACGTGGTGGTCGGGCTTGAACACCGCAATGACCTAATCAAGCTATACTGGCTGAGACTTATGTCTCTTGAGGTTCTACCATGCCAGGCAGGTTGTTTGGATAGCGGTTAAACAAAAAGCAGCTACCCAATCCAACATCATGTCCAATACAAAATTACAAAATTTCATGCCGGATCGGCCGTGGCCCGGATTAACAACGACCGCGCTTCCTGCTGCCGTGTCACAGGGCGGGAGTGATAAATCTGCTACTGAGACACACAAAACAAAAAGAACAAACAAAAACAGGCCGCGTGTGACCGGCCTCAAGCAGTTGTCCCCTGGGCTCTGCGGTCACGCAACCAACTTCCACGGTGTGGGCAGCCGGGAAGTAACAATCGCCCTCACAATCCGAAATGCACACGAAACCTCTCTATTACTCACTCATCTTTGTCTTCATCTTCATCTCTATCATCTTGCCTTCCTTCCACTGATGCAACTCCTCGACTTGATAGCTCTCCACTTCCTCTCCACTCTGCGTCCACTAAAAACGATGGAAGCCAAAAAACCACCACCGACAGCCTCTTAAAGCCGCGCCACCAATTTCATATAGGAGCTCTTAATGTTAGGACACTTTGCCAAATAGGACAACAAGCATCACTAGCCAAGACCCTGGCATCACGAGCCATTGATGTATGCTGTGTTTCAGAAACACGCATACAAGACCCAAGTGTGGTTATTCACCTAACCCCACCTGGCCAACAGGTTGAATCTGCAAAATTCACCTTGAGGGTGTCAGGAGATGCCACAGCTAGTTCACGAGGATTAGCTGGCGTAGGGATAGCTTTGAGTACTAGGGCAGAAAAGACATTGCTTGACTGGATCCCGGTAGATAGCCGAATGTGTGCTGTCCGCCTGAACGGATCAGTAAGAAGGAGGAAGGACTGCACTACTCGCCGATGCCTTTTCGTAATCTCCGCCTACGCCCCCACTGACTGCAGTTCAGATGAAACGAAGGATGAGTTCTACCAAAAGCTGTCTAGTTTGGTCGAAAGGCTAAACGCTCAGACATAGTCGTTCTAGCTGGTGACTTTAACGCTCAAGTAGGGAAATTGTGTCAATCTGAGAAGGATGTCGGTGGCACCTATGGAGTTCCGTGCCAGCGAACCGACAACGGTGACCGTCTCCTACAGTTCTGCTCTGATAATCATTTGTTTCTTGTAAGCACTAACTTTAAACACAAGGAGAGACACTGTTTGACTTGGAGACCCCCTTCATCAAACCAACGCTGGACACAAATAGACCACATAGCAATAAGCTATCGTTGGCGTGGGTCGGTAGGAGATTGTCGCTCCTTCTGGAACACGTGCGTAGATACCGACCATGCACTGGTCCGCGCTCGGGTGTGCTTACGACTGAACGGACGTAGGAAACAGCTGGCGGTAAAACCATCACGTCCCCAGCTCGATCAGGAAACTAAATCCGTATTTGAGGAAGAACTAGCTAAACACATATCTGTGTTCGACAGCTGTGCTCACCCTGAAGAAGCTTGGAAAAATATCCAGGCAGCCATAGATACAGCTGTAAAAGCTGTGAATAAGGTAAACCCAAAGGTGAGTAAAAACCACTGGATCTCCACCGCCTCATCCGAACTGATAGATGCTAGAAGACTTATTCCGGCGAGCTCCGAATTCAATGAGGAGCGAAAGCTGCACAAGAGGAAACTTACGAAAAGTCTCCGCAAGGACCGTGAACAGTGGTGGGCGACAAAAGCCAAAGAGATGGAGAAAGCTTCGAGGATAGGCAACACCAGGCAACTCTTTGGACTCATCAGGGAAACGGGTGGGAGAAGACAAATCATTAGTGAGACAATCTCGGAAAAAAATGGCACTATAATTAGCTCCAGGATAGACGACTGGATCGTTGGAAAGAGCATTATGAGGAGCAGTTTAATTTGCCCACAGCCACGCTCAACCTTCCGAGCATCCAACACCTCCCTGAATGGGATATAGACACAGGTCCTCCGTCACTAACTGAGGTTACTAAAGCTGTCACCAATCTGAAACTAGGCAAAGCAGCGGGACCTGATGGAATGACTCCAGAGGTATTTAAGTACGGTGGAGACAGCTTACTGTCCGGATTAACTGAGGTACTAGGCAGCGTCTGGGAATCAGAAGAAGTCCCATCGGGTTGGTGTAAGTCACTGATTATCCCCATATACAAGAAGGGAGACAAGTCTTCCTGTGATAATCACAGAGGGATTAGCTTGACTAATATAGTATCTAAAGTCTTAGGCTCAATAATCATGCGTAGACTGAGTGGTGCTCGGGAAGCACAAACACGAGAGAGCCAGGCAGGCTTTAGACCAGGAAGAGGGTGTATTGATCATATCTTCACCCTCCGACAGATTCTAGAACATAGGCATTCCTACCGGCGTCCAACAGTCATTATATTTCTTGACCTAAAGGCAGCATTCGACTCTGTCGATCGGGAAGTTCTCTGGAGATGCTTGGCTGTAAAGGGAATTCCGAGAAAATATATTGCACTGATTAAGGCACTCTACTCGTACTCATACAGCCAGGTGAGGGCTTACGGCGAGCTGTCATCTGAACTGATGACGACCAGTGGTGTCCGTCAAGGATGCCCATTATCTCCTTTTCTATTCAACTTCATCATAGATGTGTTAATGGACTTAACCCTAGGTGACTTCAGCGACTCAGGGATTGACTTGCTACCGGGAATAATCTCGTTGACTTGGAATATGCAGACGATATAGTCCTTCTAGGCGAAGACGCTGACGAAATGCAGAGTCTTCTAAACACCTTGAGCCGCAATCTACGAATGTTTGGCATGCGATTCGCTCCCGCCAAATGCAAGATGATGTTACAGGACTGGACTACATCGACGCCTAGTTTAAAAATAGGAAGTGAAGTGGTAGAGCACGTTGACCGCTTCACTTATTTGGGAAGTACCATCAGCCCCAACGGGCTGATCTCTGACGAAATCTCAGCACGAATACAAGGGGCTCGTTTCGCATTTGTTAGTTTACGCCGACTCTGGCGTAGACGAGATGTTCGACTATCGACCAAAGGGCGGGTGTACTGCTCATCAGTCCGCTCCGTCCTCCTTTATGGTTGTGAGACCTGGCCACTGAGAGTGGAAGACATGAAAAGACTAGCTGTCTTTGATCATAGGTGCCTGCGTTCTATTTCCCGTGTAAAGTGGCATAATAAGGTGAGCAACATGCAGGTTAGGCGTAGAGTTCTAGGTAAACAGGGGAAATCAATCGACGAAGTCGTGAAGCTACAAAGACTGAGATGGTTAGGACATGTGTTACGTATGCCAAGCCATCGCCTCCCTCGACGAGCAATGTTAGCGGATATAGGGTCAGGCTGGAAAAAAGCTAGCGGCGGTCAAACAAAAACTTGGCATCAGTCAATGAAATCCACAACAGTTGGTCTAAGCCACGTAGGAAGGTGTAGACTTCCAGGCTGGGGTCCTCGGGACGGTAAAAATCTATGGTTGGAAACAATTGGTGACATGGCTCAAAATCGTTCTCAGTGGCGCAGATGCATCCACTCCCTGTGACTTATGATCTTCAATGAAACTGTTTTGTTATTCTTTATTACTCCTTTGTCTCACACCTCTGCTCACTGTTTCTATTATGCTTTTCTTGTACTTTCTTCTCTTGCTTCGCGTGCTACACGGAATGTGGCGACTTGAACTTCCGCACATTTGTGCAAAGCTCTATGTCGAAAACAGACAGCAGTCTCCTACAAGAAACTTATAGATCTCATTTAAAGGCTTCAATAATGGCTGAATTCTTAATTATATGGTATTTCGTAGGTATTTTGGTGAAGTGTTGTCAAAACTCCATCTCAATGATACCGTCAAGCACGATGTATTTTAGTAGTTAGTATGAATGATTACGGAATTCGGTTACATATGAGGGCAAATACTAACTTTTAGATGGAACTAAAATACGCGTTCTGTATTCCACTACTTAGTATCAGCAAGCTAGTAGAGTCTATCTTTTGTTTTCTTTCCTTTGCGTTCTAGGTGGAGCATAGATCTTCAAGCTTTGAAGTTCGAGTAGCGACGATGTTTTTTTACAGGGGTTGCTAACCACATGCTTAACCTGTCCCCTTTTGTGGGTTTAGTACCAGCTAGGCGGGGTCCTGGAGTACCTCGGCCGGGAATTGAATCCCGACCACATGCGCAGTCGGGGAACATTGTACCACTGAACCACCGACTCACACAGTGTATCTACTACTACTTTAAGTTTGATTTGTAAAGTCCATAACTTTTTGAAAATTGCTTAACTGCTGACGCATGACTACTAAGAAACGCTATAAAACACTTTTTATTTCCATTCTAAAACAATTTATATAAACATTGATTAACATTAGATCTTATATGCTTCGGACTAGTTTGCTGAACGGAATATTAGAATAATTTATTTTTAATATCCTGCGTTTTATACAAATACGAGTTTTTATGAATCTGCTTTATTTCTTCGTTAACAGAAAAAAATAAGCTGAGTGACTTAAATGTACTCAAAACCAAAATTACTCTCATTTTGAGCTGGTTAGAATATTAACAACTTTTACCTTAAAGTCTTTATGCTCTACGCCTTTTCTGTGGGTTAGCTACAAAATTTATTGATTTGAGTAAAATATCTGATCACTTCTGCTTGTATTAACAATTTTAAAGAAGATTATGTTTAGTTATAATGTCTTTGTATTATTTGAATTTCTACAGACTAAATATTCTCTAGGAGATGTTGACAATGTATATAATAGTCGGATTACTATTGTTGATCTTGCCGGCAGTGAACGCCAGACATCGTCATCCACTGTGGGTGGACGTTTTATTGTAAGTTCTGTTAATATTTTCATTGCTTTTAAAGTCATGGGATTACAAAATGTTCTTCGTTTGGTAATCAACAGATTAGTTTGTGTTAGGGTAATACTGGGCTGTTTAAGTCTGCATTATATAAGTGTTTAATGAACTAACCTAATCGTCATCTTGTAAAGGAGCTAAGTGATTTGACATTATTACCACCGCCTAAGTTCTAATCACCATACTTAAAGAGCTATTAAACAGTTGAAAGAAACAGTGTAGTCAGTTATGAGATGGTTAAGTGTTCATAGACTACTTTGAATGGGATGTTGGTTACACTCTGAATGGTATGCATCCAATCACCCAACTGAGTCAGGTAGGGGGATGCAGACTTCCGGGTTGGGGTCCTCGGGACTCTAGGAATCAATGGCTGGAGACAATAGGTGACATGGCTCAAAATCCTTGTCAATGGCGCAGATGTATTCAGTCTCTGTAATCTTTCATATTCCTTTCTACCAATACCCATTCGGTTTCACTCTTGTACTTGTTAAACTCTATTGATTCTCTTCACTCATCTTCTTGTCTACCTTTGTGTGGTATTTGGAACGTGGCAACTGGAACTGCTGCACTTTGGTGCCAAGTTTTATGTTGAATCCAAACAGACAGAGTCACCCGGAAGTGTTCACTGGATCATGTAGAAAATAAGAAAAACTCGTTTATTAAGGAAAATTTTGTTCATCTACGAGGTCACCTTCACAAATTGTATAACCTACATTTATCTGTACCAAAGTGTATAACCGTCTGTTGTTGATTAGTAGATGGAGGTTAAATTCCTAATCGAGTGACTCAGCGATTGATTTTAGGGACAGAAAAGTAAAATTACGTAACAGTCAATAAGGTAACAGGGGAAAGAGTATAGAATAAGGTTGAAGTGGCTACCATCATCTATCAAAGGGGAGGTGAAAAAAGTGCAAATAAGTTTTAACTTGTGTGTAAACATACTACTCAGTTCGAAGTTTCTGATTTATTGATTTTTTCGAAATGGCACTCATAGAGTTAAGGGTAAATACGTGGATTCCTAGAGATATAGTAATATTAAGTTTTGTTTTTCAAAGTTCCTATCTTAGTGGGAAAATCACGTAGGTTAATGGGAAAAATGTCAGGTGGACTAATCTTATGACTTAAACGGTTATGAGGTGCGTCGTAATTCGCTACCAACTATTTATCAATGTCGAGTTTATGATTGACTGTTGTCAGCTTCTGTTCAAATTGCGTCTTCTGACCAGTATCTTCTTAAGAATGCTCTTTATATTATAAATTGTGTACAACATTTTAGTATTATATTCTCAGTGATTCATAAGATCAATACATGCATCCTTATCAAGATGAATTACTAGTGAGTCATTGTTATTGATAATATGACGTTGTTTCATGTGTTTATCGTAGCAATCTTTTAGCATATATTCGGCGTAGAATGCTAGATAAGAAAGTTAAGTCAATCGATTGACTGAATTGACTAGGACACTTGATGAGCATGTCGAGCTACCGCTTTCTTCGACAAGCAGTGTTAGTTGACATAGGGTTGGGTTGGACCAAATCCTGCCATCAGTCAATGAAGTCTTTGACAGTTGGTAAAAGTCACGTAGAGGAGGGCTTTAGACTGGCTACTTGTGGTCCTCAGCATGTTGAGAAACAATTGTTGTAGACTATTGGTGATATGGCTCAAAATCGTTGTCAGTGATGCAAATGCACTCACTTTTTGTGATCTCCGATATCCACTAAACCGCCATTTTTTCATATGTTACTGTTCTTTCTTCCGGATATTTCAGTTTATTATTTTTCTTTTGAATCCGCTTTGTTAAATCTCTTTTCTCTATCTTTGTGTGCTGTATGGCATATGGCAACTTGAACTGGTGCAACAACAGAAGACAAGAGCCAGGAAACAGATCGCTTATTAAGGAAATCAACACATATTTATAGATTTTCATATACATTATTATAGATTGTTGTTAGAAGAAAAACAGTCATCTGATTGGTTGTTTCTCACTGAAAGTTAACCTTTCATCTCTTTGTGACTGTTTCTTGAACGTCAGATCATCTATCTGCTAATTGTATCCGCCCACGCAAAGTCTGCTGTGATTGGTTGTTGAGTCAGTCTTTGTTCTTATTTTTCTCACGACCAATATTGGGGAAGTAAACGTTGACGTAAATTACTGTCTACCAATTTGGCTATCAGCCAGCTCTTACCACACTGGTATACTTCTGTGCAAGGTCCTGTATTGAAATTCAGTCAGTCAGTGGGTGTTTGACTGTAGTCTACTGACAGCACGTTGACCGCTTCACTTATTTGGGAAGTTGCAGCAGCCACAACGGGTTGATCGCTGACGAAATCTCAGCTCAGATACAGAAGGCTAGTTTCGCATATGCCAGTTTACGCGGTCTCTGGCATAGACGTGATATCTGGCCATCAACCAAAGGGTGGGTGTACTGCTTAGCAGTCCGCTCCGTCCTCCTTTATGGTTATATGATCTGGCCATTGAGAGTGGAAGACTAGCTGTCTGTGATCATAGGTGCCTACGTTCTATCTTTCGTGTGAAGTCGTATAATAGGGTGAGCAATATTGAGGTTAGACGTCGAGTGCTATGTAAGGAGGGGAAATCAATCGACGAGGCTGTGAAATTACATCGACTGAGTTGGTTAGGCCATGTTACGTATGCCTAGTCATCGCCTTCCGCAACGGACAATGTTAGCTGGCTGACATAGGGTCAGGTTGGAAAAGAGCCAGCGGCGGTGAAACCAAAACATGGCACCAGTAAATGAAATCCACAACATTTAGTTCAAGCCAGCCACGTGAAGAGGTGTAGACTTCCTGGTTGGGGTCCTCAGCGCGATAAACACCAATGGCTGGAGACAATTGGCGATATGGCTCAAAATCGGTCTCAATGGCCGACACAGATGCATCCACTCCTTGTGACTTATGATTTCCAATGGAACTATATTGTCCTTCGTTATTACTATTCCTATGTCTCATACTCCTGTTTACTGTCTCTATTATGCATTTCTTCTACTTTATTCTGTTGCTTTGTGTGTTACATGGAGTGTGGTAACTTGAACTGCTGCACATCGGTGCAAATTTCTATGTTGAAAACAGACAGACAGACAGTAGTCTACGGACAAAAATTCCATACTGCTTATTTTATTTTTTTAGTGTTGGATTAGATCAGTTCCTTGGTTGATGAGTTCTTTATGCTGAACTTTTAGGCCAATATCTGTATTAGTAGTTGTTGGGTCATCATAATTTTATTATTGCTAATATAATTTTACAGTCACTATTATTGCTTATTAAGAACATTGCAGTTTTCATATAGACTTTATATAGATCTTTACTGTCTTTCCATTAGCTTTTGTCCACTTTACATTTATATTGATTAGTTATTTGTCACACGTATTACATAATTTCAACCCTTGCCACTTTTTCTAACCTCCACCTAGTCATCCCCTTCTGGAATACACACTTCACATTATGTAATACATTTGTTGGGACAAAGTTACCAATGTCCCAGTGGTTTTACAAGTTCTTTGCTAATTATGAGTACAATTGCTCAGCTCGTGAAAATGATTCATCGGAAAGAAAATTTTCTTCGCTATTTACGTCTTTTTTCTTTTTGCTTAGAAATCACTGAAGTTCCCTTTTTCTGTACATTACACTTTTTTCTTCAGGAAAGTTGTCAAATCAACAAGTCTTTATTCACTCTTGGCAAGGTTATTACACAACTTTCTCAAAATGCTGCCAACAATAAAAGACCTATGACAATTATAGAGCAAAGATCAGCTGTTCGAAATGTTCCTCCAGTGACTTCAGTCACTCCGTGTCGATTAATTAATAAAAGAAAAGATTTTGTTTCTTATCGGGATTCATTACTAACCTGGTTTGTTTTTGGTTAAATATATAATTGATATTGCTTTTATCATGATTATTATTTTAAAAAAAAGATATAACAATTACTATTTACACTTGTATGATGAAATGGTACTGCAAAATTTAATGCACACTAGGTATAATTATATTTTAAAAGTTATATCGTTAGAATACAATTCTTGGATAGGCGTAGTACAAATTCATCGACAGTGGTGATAGCTTACTTCCTGTCTACTATTTTCCGAATTCACTATTCTTCACTAAATGGATTAGCTCATTGTAGTATCACTATGTTTCTTTTCTCTAGTTTTTCTTTTCATATGCTTCTTTGTAGTAAGTTAGCCTGGAACTGTTGAACATTTTTTCTAAGTTTTATGGTGTATTCATTAGTCCAGGTCTAAAAACCATGGGTAGTATCACTTTTTCTTACACAATAAGTGTGGTTTTTAGTGTGGTTACTAAGCTCTAAATAACTAAGATGAGTAGGCAAACTATTTTCTTAAACTGAGTTATTGTGTGGCAGCATTAGGAAATGTTCGTTGTTGGTTTGTCAATAGAATGCTCACCAGATATGTGGGAGGTTTGGGTTCGATTCTTGGCCTTTGCACTCTTAACCTCTCCTAATTTACTAGCCGATAGTAAGCTTTAAAAAGAATGAAGGTTGAGCATAGAAATAACACCAGCGTTAATGGGACTTCAAAGCTCCAAACCCCTTGTTCCATTCGGAACGAAATCTATGTTGACATTAATCCAAATCCCTGAATGAACCCATTTTGTAATCATAAGTCTCCAGCTCATTAGTGTCTACTGTGTGTATGTCCTAAGACTGTACTGAGAATTTGTGGCCAGCGGGGTCGACAATATCAAGGTGATGAGGATGCTTATCATAATGTATTGATCGATGGTGGCACAGAAGTTAGAATTCACAGATGATTGAATTCTGGCCCGATTCACGGAACAGTCAACGAGCTTGGCATTGTAACCTGAAGGTTCTGGGTTCGACTCCTGGTGGGGCTGTGAATGCTCACTGCTGAAGATTGCCAAACTAGGTTGAAGCAGCTGTCGATAACCCCACAACTTTACTGGTATTTGTTTGTGACGAAATCTACATTCCTATTGAATAAATGACACTACTTAAGAGATTATTGACGGAAAGACACTAAGTGATGTACACGTTTCTCTTGGTTTTATTGTAATATATGTTATTCGTCACCATATTTTCTTTGTTTCTGAAGTTTCAAATACATTTTGGGGGTTAATGCTAGTACTGAATACTATAAAATACCAATGTAGTCGATGACTATATAAAAGTTTATGTACTTGGTTATAGGTTATATTTATTTCGTAAATTTTTGTTTGTGCTCGAAACGGGGTCATCAGTAAACATTACTGTATAACACTGTGAGACTTTATCAAAACAAAAATTTACCCATAATGGAATTACACTCTACCACAGTGCACAAGTTTTATTCTTATACAGGATTTTATCATTAGTTAACATCGATTAGATAACCTGCAGGGATTACTGGACAATTGTTTCGTCCTAGTTTGGGACTTCAGTAGTATGTACCCACCTGGGTTCGAACTCAGGAACTTCTGGTTGCAAGACGACCTCGTCTAATGGTACTCCAACTGATGTCAGCTCATGATGAAATTCTGTAACCGAAAATCATTTCGTTATAGTCTGTTTTCCTTACGGGGAAAATTGTGATGAATGTGTATGTTTTTAGGTAAATCAGGTGTTAACTTAAATATTGAATTAAACATCTTACCTAAAAGCGATTACACCTCAGTAAATGGAATAAAAGATTCAGAGAAAAAAATACGACAGTTTCAACCACTGACGGCATTTCAAGGAGACCTGACTTTTATATCCTTATGTTGAGATTACAAAATTACGATCACATCAGTCAGCAAACATATCTCTTTTCGTATATTCACTTCAAAGCTGTACAATTATTTATTGTGTGTGGGGGTTATATGCTGTTTTAACTGACAACAAAGATCAGAGGTTACTGTCAGTCAGTAACAGAAGAAGGTCAAAGTGTATGAGGAATAAAAATTTGTGAAATATAGCGAGTCTCTCTTGCTTAATCGAGAGGATTGACACCTATAATTAGTTAAGTGGTAAATAATCCTTTGATAGGAGGCAAAATAATAAAGGATTGGAATCTAGGTTACAAAAATAAAAACACTACAACGCACAGTTTATTATGCAACAATTCAGGGAAATAAAACTGACACAAAGGACATTGTAGTAAAAAAAGAAAGTCGGATAAATGTTTCTGAACGCAAAGTTACAGTTTTTCCTCGAGGATTGTCAAAGCTTTGTCTACATATGAAGAAGATTTAAGTGAATTCCTGTTGAACGGCTTTATCTTACTTTACATTATATGAGTATGGATAAATTCTCTGCTGATGATGTTATGCGACCAGGAGTAATTCTATAGCTGCTCACGTTGTACCTTGAGTTCTATAGTTTCCCAATCAAACACCAATCAATTCAAAATTTACAGATTATAAATGAATGATGAGAATTGGATGTCTCTTATTTCTGTTTTGTCGTTTTTATTCTACCCATTATCATTCTCATTTATTTTAGTCATGTTGTTTTGTTACTTTTTTTTGCGATTAGGCTACTGAAGGATAGTTTAGGAGGGAATGCAATAACTGTAATGCTAGCAACAATCAGTCCATGTATTTCGCATTACGATGAAACGTTGAGTACTTTACGGTAAGATCTGTTTCATAGTTGAAATTTCATGCCATTAAAACTGTTTTTTACGTTGATAACATGTATGTAGAAGAAATTTGCACGACCCTATAGCTTTGGGAAATGGATGAGATGATGAGTGGTGAAACTGTAAACATTCGCTTTAAAAATCCTAATTCGAGTGATTTTTTTAAATATTCTATATTCTTATTTCGACCAATTGGCTTCAATGACCTACGTGACTCAACTAAAAGTTGTTTCAGTAAAATGACTTATAAATATATATTGTTTTGTTTTTAAGTTAATTAGCATATCTCGTTGATGGATTATGTTGACATGAATTGTTCGTTCTCTGTTGACATGTCGGCTCCTAGCATCGACTCTTCGACTATATCTGAGGATAAACGTGATGTTATTTTGGTTGGTGGCCTATCGGATAATGCTTTGGCGTTTGAAACAGTAGTTGGCACGTTTCGAGTCTCAATGGGAACAGCATCACTCACTAGGCATGTAGGTGCATCCAGGTGACGAGTCCTGAATCGGACGAAATGTCTGGCTGACTTATTGGTTCCAGCGTGGAACTTTGCACAGAATTGCAGAAGTTTGATTTGTCACAGTCCATGTACCACACTGACGAAGATAAAAAATAGAAAAAAGACGATTCGAAAGGACTAGAATAAACAGAAAAATGAGGAAGGGTGAGTAGTAAGATGGAGAAACATTAGGGTGTAGTGGGTATGGGAAATCATAGAGTGAATGCATCTGCGCCATTGAGTGCGATCTTGTCTCCAGTCATTCTTTCTTACTGTCCTGAAGACCCCAACCGGAAAGTGTACGCTTCCTTACGTGTTTGGTTGGCTGGTTTAAACTGTTATGGATTTCATTGACTGATGAGGTTATGTTTTGGTTTGACCACGACTAGCTCCTTTCCAACCTGATCCTCTGTCAGCTAGCATTGCCCGTCGAGGAAGACTATGGTTGGGGATGCGAAACATATGTCCTAACCATCTCAATCGGTGTAACTTTACAACCTCGTCGATTGACTTTCCCTCCTTACCTAGCACTCGACGTCTAATCTCAATATCGCTCACCCTATTATACCACTTGACACGGGAAATAGAACGCAGGCACCTATGATCAAAGACAGCTAGTCGGTCTTCTCATGTCTTCCACTTTCAATGGCCAGGTCTCATAGCCATAAAGGAGAACGGAGCAAATTGCTGCACCAGTACACAGTACGAAACAGTACCTAGGAAGAAATACACAATCTGGATTACACTGCCGGTTATCATTTACCAAAATGACATTTTGTGCATATTATCCAATATGTATGCTTCAAAAGAGTAAGAAAGTGCGTTGTGTGTTACAACAACAATTCATTCTCTTCATCCGCGTAAACTCTACGGTATTTTATTACATCAAATTATTATTAAATAGCTGAACTGAACATGAAAAAGTCATACAATCGGTATGATGTTCGACAATAGGTCAAATTCTTCTTTACATAAACTTTTTCATGTATAACAACATAGATAACATGCTGGAGAAAAACGATTCCTTAATTAGATGAGTAATTTCACAGTAGTCTAGTAGATGGAACTGAATACGGATTCAGTAAGTACAAATTATTCTGTTTGCCCAACCTGAAGAATAGCGACCACAGAGTGCGGATCCACCGATGACCCTGAACGCATATCATTCGTTGGATTACAGTGCCAGTAAAAACGACGTGAATGAATTGATATGCAAATTTTATTCTGATCTTGTTTCTAGGTACTGCTTTGACAGTGGGTTGATAACACTTTAAGGTTTCCATTAGGCTTAGGGTTGTGGTTACGATTACTGTTAGGGCTAGGGTAAAGATTGGGACTAACCCAAGATTTAGGGGTTAGGGTGTATTATTATTTTTCTCATAAATAAGTAAATGAGAAGAGTGTTTCGTTGTTCATATAAATGAAGCCATTTTGATATCTATGAAACTTGAAAACCGTTACTGCGAACTATTTTTCAGTTACATGGGGTGGGGTGGGGGTGAAATATCGTCTTTAATGTGTTTCATTTCTTCTCGTAAATAAACGTTTTGACGTAGAACACACAGCAATATCTGTAATACAACAAATGGCGTGGTGATTTTTGCGTTCGTACTCCCTGGTCGCTATTCTTTATGTTTTCCCCACTGTTTTATAATTGAATTAGGAAGTAATTTCCACATCATGCAATATAACTGGAATTTATGCACAGAATCTAACCAGGATTGTAATTTTAATCATAAAACCAGGAAATCAGGTCGTCAGTATGCTAACCCCATAAGGTAATCAGTTTATATGTCTATAAGCATACTCAGACACACTTCATAGTATTATTTATCTAGTATTGAATACAGTGAATATCGAGTATCTGTCATCAGTTAGACTCTTAGAAAAATTATTTTTAATGATACCGCTTTACGAAGACGATTATGCGTAATTGCGTTTAAATAGCCTTTTTTTTAAACAACATCAGTGTAGTCAATTGGTTTTTGCAGCCACTACATTAATTTTTTTATAATGTTTTTGTGTTTTTCAGTTATGCTAAGAAAGCCTCATCTATTGTTAATTCAGCAGTGGTCAATGAAGATCCGAAAAGCCGGTTAATTCGTGGTAATTTATGAGCATATTTGTTTTTACTTATCATGATTATATATGCACTAATCACCGAATTTTTCCTATCTATCTGATTACATTATTTTAGTCATTCCAATAATCTTTTTTTACAGGATTTCATCATGAGCTGACATTAGTTAGAGAACCACTCGAAAACCTGGGAGTACTGAACAGTTGTTACGTTCTAGTTTGGGACTCTTCGTCAGTACGCACTCACTGGGAATCGTGCCCAGAACCTTCTGCCTACAAGGCGAGCTCGTAGACCATTTAGCCACTGGGACCCGATCCAATGGCCAATTCACAATATAGCTCAACCGATAGCCAATGTCTTCGGTGAGTATTTGTGCTCACACCCGACCTGCTGCACCCTGGTGGTCACGACTTCTCACTAGAACCCCAGGTAACTACCCACCTGAATAGGGCTGAAGAGTGCCAAACTAGGACGAAACAGCTGTCCAGTACTCCAAGGTTTTCCAATGGTTCTCTAACTAATGTCAGCTCATGATGAAATCCTGTAAACCAATCAAATCCCTACAAACCAGCACTTGAATCTTTTTTTTGGTTATCCCCCATTGAAGCTTTCATGTTTTAAGTTTGAATTAAAAGGCGAAAACTGGTTCTGTCATTTAACTTATCGAAATAATTGCATGTCGCGTCGTTGGTTCACTGGTAGAACACTGGCTGACCAAGCAAGAGGTATGGGGTTCGATTGCTGGCCGACGCATTCCTTAACCTCACTCAGCTAGTATTAAGCTCGGTGAAGAGGGAAGGTTGGTCGTGTGGCTAGCAACCTTATCCCGTAACAAGACGGCGACTGCTACTGAAACTTCAAAGCTCTAGCCTGAAGCCCTCTGTTCCATTAGTAACACAAAGGAATAAAATAATGATAATGATAATAAATAATGGTAGAGAGTAATTTGTGATATTTGAAATGTCAGATCACGAATTCACATTGTTTAGAAAACCTTTTGAAAGTTAGCGCGTACTGGACAGTTGTTTCGTCCTAGTATGGGACTCTTCATCAGTGCGCACTCGTAAACCCACTTGGGATATGCATGTACATATGTACTGATTATTTATAAATGTAAAATAGTTTGTTGTTTCTTAGATGCATTACGTATTAGAGTATTGGCTGCTTCATTTAGTAGTCAACTTTGCTTTCAATCGAGAAAACATAGATCAACAAAGGAAGAAATTTTCTTTTCGTTATTGCGCCTCGATACCATACAGTTATTTAGTGTTGTTGTGGTAAACCTGAATTTCAAAAGTGAGACGAAAACTGGGATTTTTCGAAGCAGATTATCAATAGCTTTCCGAAATGTATCCTTTGCTGCATTTTTACGTCCCTCCTTCTCTACACAACCTTTTACTCATCAGAATATCAATCACAATGTTCTGATGCTAGCGACATTCATGTATATATATATATTATATATATATATCAGTTGACTTGCTCCTGTTGAGCTAATTACATATCCCTTACAAGTAGAATACACAAACACGTACACACATACACAAAAACATCTTTGAATATGGTTGTTCAAAGGAAAACTTAGACAAACCGATAGTTCACTTCTTGAGCATCTTGTTTTTACAAATCATTCCGCATTATTATAAGAATCTTCCAGATTGATATATAAGGTTAGTCCAAGTTGTTCTACGGGTCCCCGGCTACATCTATCCACAGAAGAAGCTCTTGTTATACACAAAGAAGACCCTGAACCATGTTTACAGAAGGGGTTAATGGTGTCCCTTTTAAGCACCATGGCCTCTCATCCGTTAACTGTTATGGCAGGCTTCGTTAAGTGTTTAACAAACCGAGCAGTAGCACTAAGTAGCACAAGAAAAGACCTAAATGATGAACTAAAACAGATAGAAGAGGGTTTGGTGTTAAATGACTATCTTTTAAAATTCATTAGAAAGATCGAAAAAGGCCAAACGAAAAATAAAAAGAATTGTGAAACTAGTAATAATAACATAAATAAGAGAGAATATAAGTCATCTACAGTTATACCATATAAGGAGGGGACATCTGAAACCCTACGTAGGATTCTTAATAAAGCAGGAATTAGGGTGGCATTTAAACCTACAAACTCACTCAGGGACAAGCTCTGTAGGTTAAAGGACCCAGTTGACCCAGTTAGACAAAATAATATAATTTACAAAATACCCTGCAATCACTGTGAGTGAGGTCAACTACATAGGTCAAACTAGTAGGTCAGGGGTAGTCAGATTGTCAGAACATAAGAATTTAGCTAAGGTAAGAATTGTTGACCCCGAGAAGATAAGTAATTTAGAAAAAAGCTCAGCAATTGCAATGCATGCATTAACACACAACCACACAATAGGGTGGGTGGGAGAGGGTTAAAATTCTAAAAAGTAATCTAGATAGGTGGAGAGAGAGGTTGATTACTGAATCCTTGTTCATCGAGTCTACATCCAACACATGCAATAGGAATGATTCATCACTCATACCTGAAATATGGAAAATATGACTACCAATCAAATCAAGTGAAAAATAATGGAACTATATAAATGAAGTTAGGACGTCGTGTGAGTATCTTGAAATGATTATGAGCAATATATTGTGCTCGAAACGGGGTCATCAGTAAACATTACTGTCTGTCTGTCTGTCTGTTTTCGACATAGAACTTTGCACAAATGTGCGGAAGTTCAAGTCGCCACATTCCGTGTAGCACGCGAAGCAAGAGAAGAAAGTACAAGAAAAGCATAATAGAAACAGTGAGCAGAGGTGTGAGACAAAGGAGTAATAAAGAAATACAAAACAGTTTCATTGGAGATCATAAGTCACAGGGAGTGGATGCATCTGCGCCACTGAGAACGATTTTGAGCCATGTCATCAATGTTTCCAACCAAAGATTTCCACCATCCGAGGACCCCAGCCTGGAAGTCTACACCTTCCTACGTGGCTTAGACCAACTGTTGTGGATTTCATTGACTGCCAAGTTTTTGTTTGACCGCCGCTAGCTTTTTTCCAGCCTGACCCTATATCCGCTAACATTGCTCGTCGAGGAGGCGATGACTTGGCATACGTAACACTGTCCAACCATCTCAGTCTTTGTAACTTCACGACTTCGTCGATTGATTTCCCCTGTTTACCTAGAACTCACGCCTAACCTCCTGTTGCTCACCTTATTATGCCACTTTACACGGGAAATAGAACGCAGGCACCTATGATCAAAGACAGCTAGTCTTTTCATGTCTTCCACTCTGAGTGGCCAGGTCTCATAGCCATAAAGGAGGACGGAGCGGACTGATGAGCAGTACACCCGCCCTTTGGTCGATAGTCGAACATCTCGTCTACGCCAGAGTCGGCGTAAACTAACAAATGCGAAACGAGCCCCTTGTATTCGTGCTGAGATTTCGTCAGAGATCAGGACACCACTGGTCGTCATCAGTTCAGATGACAGCTCGCCGTAAGCCCTCACTGGCTGTATGAGTACGAGTAGAGTGCCTTAATCAGTGCAATATATTCTTGGAATTCCCTTTACAGCCAAGCATCTCCAGAGAACTTCCGATCGACAGAGTCGAATGCTGCCTTTAGGTCAAGAATATAATGACTGTTGACGCCGGTAGGAACCTATGTCTAGAATCTGTCGGAGGGTGAAGATATGATCAATACACCCTCCTGGTCTAAAGCCTGCCTGGCTCTCTCGTGTTTGTGCTCCCGAGCACCACTCAGTCTACGCATGATTATTGAGCCTAGACTTTAGATACTATATTGTCAAGCTAATCCTCTGTGATTAACAGGAAGACTTTCCCTTCTTGTATATGGGGATAATCAGTGACTTACACCACCCGTGGGATTCTTCTGATCCAGACGCTGCCTAGACCTCAGTTAATGCGAAGTAACTGTCTCCACCGTACTTAAATACCTCTGGAGTCATTCCATCAGGTCCCGCTGCTTTGCCTATTTCAGATTGGTGACAGCTTTAGTAACCTCAGTTAGAGGAGGACCTGTGTCTTCCCTTCAGGGAGGTGTGATGTCGGAGGTTGAGCGTGGCTGTGGGAATTAAACTGCTCCTCATAATGCTCTTTCCACGATCCAGTCGTCTATCCTGGAGCTAATTATAGTGCACTGTATAACACTGTGAGACTTTATCAAAACAAAAATTTACCCATAATGGAATTACACTCTACCACAGTGCACAAGTTTTATTCTTATATATTTATGTTATACTTTATATCTTTGTTGATAAGTTATTACGATCATTTGTAAGACATTTCTAACTTCATGATAAAAAATAATTTAGTCTGGGATTTTCAAGTTTACTTAAGTTTGTTATGTACGTTGTTTTTCCGGGTTGGTTAATGTGAAATGCGATATCTTCACTATTCGATTAGGTTTATAACTAGTATTTAATTTAATCACCATCAACGGAAGACATGAACGCCAAACTGGGACCAGACAACACAGGAAGGGAACTCATCATGGGTAGAGAAGCTCTCGGAGAAATGAATGAAAATGGAAAACTCTTCGCCGACTTCTGCGCCTTCAACGAACTAGTGATTGGTGGCAGTCTATACAAGCACAAAGATATCCACAAGGCTACATGGGTGTCACCAGACGGGCAAACCAAAAACCAAATCGACTTCATCTCAATCTCAAGGAAGTGGAGGCGCAGCCTACTGGACACAAAAGTAAGAAGAGGAGCAGACGTTGGCTCAGACCACTATCTCGTACAAGGGACAATCCAAATCAAATTAAAAGCTTTCAGGAAAACAGGAGCTGCAGATAGACCACAAGCCAAGTTCAACACTCAAAAGCTGAAGGACCAGGCTACAAAGGACATCTTCATTGCAAACATAAGGGAAAAGCCAAGGCACAAATCAACACTAGCGAAAAGGTCGGCTTCGAAAAGCACTGGGACAACTTGAAAACGGTGTGGAGTCAAACCTGCATGGAAGTTCTAGGCAGAAAAAAGAGACAGGACAAACAGTGGCTCACTACGGACACTTGGAAACTAATAGAGGAGAGAAGGACAGTGAAACAAAAGATTATCCAGTGCACCGACGAGCAACAAAAACAGGAATTGAATGCAAGCTACAATACACTGAACAAAAGAGTGAAGAAGAGTGCCAGGGAAGACAAAAGAAAATATTATGAAACCATGGCAAACGAAGCAGAACAAGCTGCAGGCAAAGGAGACCTCGCCACACTCTACCAAACAACTAGACACCTTTCGGGCAAAAGTTCGACACAGATTAAGCCAATAAAGGACGACAATGGAAAGTCAATCACCAAAGAGGTGGAACAGAGAAAACACTGGGCTGAACACTTCAAAAGACTTCTAAATCGTCCGCCACCTACAACACGCCCAACAATACCAACAACGGAAGCAGAACTACCAGTGAACATTGACCCCCCGACGAAATCAGAAGTCCTGAATGCAATCAAGATGCTAAAAGCTGGGAAAGCACCAGGACCAGATGGAATCCCAGCAGAAGCTTTGAAAATAGACCCAGAGACAACAGCGGACTTGATGACACCACTGCTGGAGAAGGTGTGGAAAGAGGGCAAAGTACCCGAGGATTGGAAGAACGGATACTTATTCAAACTACCAAAGAAAGGAGACTTAAGTCAATGCAAAAACTGGCGTGGAATTATGCTTCTGTCCATTCCAAGCAAAATACTAAGCCGCATCATCCTGGAGAGAATCAAACAAGCCCTGGATGAAAAACTTCGACCGGAACAGGCCGGATTCAGGAGAAACAAATCATGTATTGATCAAATCGCCACACTACGGATCATCATTGAACAAAGCTTGGAATGGCAGTCACCTCTCTATCTCAACTTCATCGACTTTGAAAAGGCCTTCCAGACAGCGTCGATCGAGAGGTGATTTGGCAACTACTTCGCTACTACGGGGTCCCATCGACAATTATACATCTCATCCAACAGTTATACGACAATGCTGCATGCCAAGTAATCCACAACGGGAAACTTACGGAAGCCTTCGAAGTGAGGACGGGAGTGAGGCAAGACTGTCTATTATCGCCAATGATCTTCCTGATTGCAGTAGACGGGATAATGCGACAGACAACGGGAGATGAGGAAACAGGCATAAAATGGACTGACACAAAAGACTTGGAGGATCTGGACTTCGCCGATGATATATGTCTGATTTCCCACAAACTGGAAGATATGCAAGTGAAAAGCAACAAGTTGGCAGAAGAAGCATCAAAGATAGGACTTCAAGTGAACATAGATAAAACAGCAACAACAACAACAGGCGACAGTCAGCCTGCATAAATGGGAGGAACCTGAAAGAAACAACCTCCTTCACCTGCCTACCTGGGAAGCATCGTCTCAACTACAGGCAGAACTGACGAGGATATCAAAGCCAGAATCGGAAAAGCAAGACAAGCTTTCATTATTCTCAAGTCTGTGTGGAGGTCAACAGCCCCATTCAGCATCAAAAATAAGATCCGGATTTTCAACTCCAATGTGAAGTCAGTCAGTGCTACTCACTATACGGATCAGACACTTGCACTGCGCGTCATAAAGAGTATCTCCAACAAACTTCAGACCTTCATTAACAGTTTTCTTCGCTCAATACTCAAGATCAGATGGCCAGAAAAGATCAGCAACAGGGATCTTTGCGGTGAGCTAACCAACCAGGAACCGATTGTGAAACAAATATGCAGGAAGAAATGGAGATGGATTGGCCATACACTGAGGAAACCACCAAGTGACATCACTAGACAAGCCATTGCTCGAGTGGAACCCTAAAGGGAAGCGGCGAGTTGGTCGTCCAAGGGTGACTTGGAGGAGGTCATGTGAAGAGGAGATGAAAGCATGTGGGCAGACGTGGAGCCAGGTGGAAAAGTTGTGAGAGAACCGAACGCAATTGAGACGAGTGGCTGAAGCCCTGTGTTCCTCTAGGAATTAAAGGATATAATAATAATAATAATGGTAGGGATTTGAAAGAGGTCACTTCATTCACTTATCTAGGGAGCATTGTCTCGACTACAGGCAGTCGGAACGGACGAGGATGTCAAATCGAGCGAGAATCGGGAAGGCGAGAAATACATTCATCAACCTGAAATCAATCTGGAAGTCTTCGTCACTCAGCATCAACAACAAAATTCGGATTTTCAATACAAACGTAAAGTCACTTCTATACGGATCAGAAACTTGACGAGCGGGTCACAAAGAATATTTGCAACAGCCTGTTGCAGACCTTTATCAACAACTGTCTTCGCTGGCTCTATACTGAAGATCAGATGGCCGGGCTGGGCCGGAAAGAATCACCAACAAGAAACTATGGGAACAAGCAAAACAAAACAAGAACCAATCGCCAGCCAACAAATATGCAGGAGAAGGTGGAGATGGATCGGATACTCGCTGAGGAGGCCGCTGGGTGACATCGCGCGTCAAGTCCTCGAGTGGAACCCGAAAGGGAAGCGGCGTGTGGGACGTTCAATGGTGACATGGAGGAGATCGTGTGAAGAGAGAGGAGTTGAAAGAGTATGGACTAACATGGATACAGGTGAAAAGTACAGCAGAAGACAGAAGCGAATGGAGACGTGCAGCTGAAGCCTTATGTTCCACTAGGAACCCAAGGGAGCAATAATAATAATAATATAGTAATTTAATTCAGTTGTACTCAATCAGGAAATGCCATGCATGATGTGTTGTATTTCAGTGATTGTTAATTTGTTTCATGTTTTTTGTTTCCTTGTAGCAGAGCAGTGTTCGATTGCTTAATTCACCATGGTTTGGTGTTAGAACACTCGCTAAATACACAATTATTCTTGGGTTCGACCCTTGGCAGACGCACTCTTAAACCTCACTTAGAGAAGGAAGGTATGGTGGGAGGCTAGCAACCCCAACGCATAAAAACAAACACCACTACAACTGAAATTCCAAAAGCTCAAGCTTTAAAACCTATTGTCTACTCGGAACGCAATGAATTAAATAATACACTTTGTGAAATGGCACCGCCATGTAACACAGTTAATGTTGTTCTGTTTTTTTTTCTCTCACAATTTTAAAGAATATGAATTTCTTTAAATTCTTCCATAGAATTAATGTCTGAAATACGTGCATTACGTGAAAAAGTATCATCAGTTTCATATGAGTCCGGTACAAGTCAAGCATATGAGATGGCTAAACTAAAAGAATTGATTTCACTCCGTGAAGATGATGTCCACCAATTACGAAGGTATGTTGGATTTGTCTCTTATAATCCTTTTTTCGATAAAAAAAAACAACTATATATAATATTATTCGAGTACAATAAACAACTTCTTGTACAGTTTTTAGCGTGTAGCCAGTCAGCTAAAGGTGTGTCCAACTTTCGCTTGAGAACTTAACCCCCCACCCCACTCCACCTCCCTGAAATCCGATTACATTAAAGTAGTCAATAGGATCCTACTCCCTACATATTGATTGTGACCCATATCTCTTTGTGAATTGTATTACTTTTATTATTATTTTTTTAATACTGATCGTTTCGTAATTCATCGTATATGATATAGTTAAATTTTTTCCCATGAAAGTCCTCAACAGTATGTAATCTGATGAATCAAGCTAAAAATATCAAAGCCCATATGTTTCACTTTGTGCAATCTGCGGTTGAAAAGATAGTGGTGCATCATAGTATTTATTATGAAGAGGAAATTGCTTCAGGGTTATAAGAATAGAACTTGGGCACTGTTGTGGTAGGATATACTAGTATTATCGATAGCATTTATTTTGATATAGTCTCAAGGTGTTTACAGTTAGTAATATTTACTGATGACTTTTCGAGCATAAGTTACTCACACAACTTTCTAACTTCGTTTGCATAATTTCATTATTTTTCATCACTTAATTTGATTGGTAGTAGTATTTTTTATATGTATGGCATTGGTGGTGAGTCATTCCCATTGCATTTGTTGTGTATAGATTCAATGAACAAAGATTATAGTAATCAACCTCTCTCTCCACCTGCTTACATTACTTTTTATTGAATTTGAGATTTTCCCGTCGATTGATTGGACCGAAATGCTTGGTCTCAGGTTGACATGTCGGCTTCTTGTGCAGATGCTTCGACGATGTCTGGGCATTTAGTTAGTATTTGATTGGTGAATGGTGACTAGTAGTGGAATCCAGGATGCGCATTTTGTCCTATTTGGGACTCATCAGCTGGATGTACCTGAATTTCTCAGTGAGTGATGATGTTCCCACCGAGGCTCGAACACAGTACCCATGGTCCCAAACGCCAAAGCGTTCTCCACTAGACCACTTGGGTCACGAGAGCCACCTCTTGTGCAACGGGTCATATTAATTTTATTAAATTTGAGATTATCCCGTCGATTGATTGGACACAAGTGCTCGGTGTCAGGTTGACATGTCGGCTTCTTGTGCAGAAACTATGGGTACTGGGTTCGAGCCCCTCTGGGAACATCATCACTCACTGAGAAATGCCGGTACATCCGGCTGACGAGTCCCAAATAGGACCAAATGCGCATCTTGGATTCCACTGCTAGTCACCATTCACCAATCAAATACCTGCATTAATTTTTAGAATTTTAACCTTCTTTCACCCTGTTGTGTGGTTGTGTGTTAATGTATACAGTGCAATTTAGCAAAAAACCTTGGCGATTGACTACATGCGTTGACAAACAACCACACACTAGGGTGACAGGTTAAAATTCTAAAAAGTAATGTAAGTAGGTGGTGAGGGTGGTTGATTACTGGATCTTTGTTTATTGAATCTACACCTGACACATAGAGTAGGAATGACTCATCACCAATACTAGCGATACGGAAGATACTACTACTGTGGTGAGAGCAGGCTGCTAGCCAAATTGGTAGACATTAGTTTACGTCAGTATTTATGTCCCAAATATTGGTCGTGAGAAAATATGAACAGAGACTGATTCAACAACCAACCACAGCTGACTGCGTAGATGGATACAGTTAACATATAGATGATGTGATATTATAATATATATTATAAAAGATGACCTGACATTCAAGAAACAGCCACAAAGATATGGAAGTTAACTTTCTGTGAGAAACAACCAATCAGAAGACTGTGTCTGTTTGCTTGAATAAATTATAATAATGCACATGAAAATCCATTTAAATCGGATACAATTAGCAGATAGATGATCTGACGTTCAAGAAACAGTCACAAAGAGATGAAAGGTTAACTTTCAGTGAGAAACAACCAATCAGATGACTGTTTTTCTTCTAACAATAATCTATAATAATGTACATGAAAATCTATAAATATGTGTTGATTTCCTTAATAAGCGATCTGTTTCCTGGCCCTTGTCTTCTGTTGTTACACTACCAACCAATATGCAGTTTGCTCAATCTATCAAACAGTGTATATGCAATATCGTAAATCATTCATTGGGAAATGCAAAAAATACCTTTATTATAATGAATATCATATACCCAATGCCCGCATTTTTTCAAACTGTTAAAAGTGAACTTGGTTTAGACATATATAAGGTCATTTCCCGTCGATTGATTATGTTGGACCGAGATGTCCGCTGTGTTGACATGCTGTGACACTTGTGTGTAATACTTTGACATTTAGAATGATGAGTTCAGGGTTCCAGTCCTAGTGGAAACAACAGCACTCACTGGGAATGAAGGCATATGCAACTGATGAGTCCCGAGTAGGACGAAATGCGCATCGTGGATTGTATTAAGTAAAATAACTTCCTATTCAGCCGTGTTGATCAACTAAAAGCAAAGACTAGCGAAATATTTTACAACCAGTAAGAAGTCTGTGAGATTTACATCGTATGATTTATTACTGAAATATCTACTGTTTATGTGTAAAGATGAATAAGTATGAAAGACGCCCAGGCTCCTCTTTTTTACTCGTTGGTTTACGAGTGAGTCAGTTAGGAATAGACCCGGACCTTTTGCATGACTGCTGAGTATTCTGACATTGAACCACTTATGCTATGCAGCTTGCTCTTTCGTCTATGTTCTTCTTTTTTTTCTGAGTAGAATTTTGTCTGATGGTTACGTGGAATTGTATTCGGTGGGATGGTGGTTAGCAGTGGAATCCAGGATGCAACTCGTCAGCCGGATATACCTGTAGTCTCTAGTGCATGGTTGTGCTCCCAAATAGGGTGAATAGGACGCTTATCCTAGATTCTTATACACCAGATGATACAAGGTTAATTGTCAGACATCGTTGAAACGTCCGTACTAGGAGGGCTGACATATCAACAAAAACCGAACATTTCGGTCCAATATAATCACAGTCAACGGAAAATACAAAATTAACTTAAACAAGTGGAATTATAATTTAGTGTTTTCAAAGTCATAGTCGTTCATTACTTTGATTTGCTAAACAGTTATAGAGTTTCTTCTCAATCTATATGATTCACTGTTTTTATTTTCTATAATCTTTTAAAGGAGACTAACTGATCGTCATTTCCCGCATAGAAGTAAGTCTACGGAGGCCGCCACTATCACAACGGAACGATGCAAGTCAACTCAAACTTCAGAAGAATTGTATTCTGTTGAACCGGATCCACTGTTTCAAGTTTCTCGCAATTCACTTTTCAATGAAAACCGTAGAAGTGTAATGTTAGTGTAATTTTTAATATTAACGTTTTCATTTTATTGTATATGTTAAACCCCTTTGATGTGATTTCACTTTTGTATTTATCTCAGTGATATTGACGTCAAGTTGTCTTGTAAACCCATTAACCTGTATTCCGTCAGTGGATTAATATGTTTATAGTTTTATCTCCAAAAATGCTACGCTTCCACTGAATTTACAACACTATTTAGCTGTTCGCTTAGGTTATTTGTATGAACGCTAATTTTAGTCAATTTACACAAGTCGAGTATAACTAGCCTCAAACAGATGACGTGTGGAATGTGCGCAACTGAACAAATATAAGCTTGTTTTTATCCTTTGGGTAAAAAGAGTAAATACTGACTCCCACAATGCTGGTTTTGTGTAAGAGTCAAAAGTCTACATAGCTCTGATGAAGTTAAAGGTTCACTTGAACATTCGTAATCCTTAGTTCTTTAAAGTTTCTTCATTCTGTTGATTGGTTGGTTTTTAAAAAACTGTGATTGTAAATATTATGTTCACTCACTACTTAAATTACATAATAACAGTGGGGTTAGACAGGATTACCCAATCTCTTTCAATTTCTCTTTAACTTTGCCGTCACTGACATTCTGGATGGAGTTGGCTCTGAACAGCTTGCGTCGTGGTGCTGTAGATTTTCTTCCTGGATAAAAAAATTTTAGACCTCGAATATGCAGACGATATCGTACCAAATCTCAACAAGTCAGTTTTCGACTAGTGTATATAAATGTAGTATGTGCTTTGCGTCGTCTAAATGCAAGGTGTACTGTTGCGAGATTGTCGGGAACTTTTACTTGCACCAACTCTTGTAGATGAACCGCTTGAAGTGTTCGACAAGTCCGTGTGTCTAGGTAGTTGCATGAACGCTGGTAGAGGTGTGAAAGCTAGGGTGATATACACCAATTTTGGCCACCTCTGGCTCCATAATGATGTTAGCCTGGCTGTCAAATGTTAGGTTCACAATGCTTTGATGCTCACTGTCCTGTCTTGCTCTACACCAGCGAATCCTGGCCTCTCCGAGCTGAATTACCAAAACTAAAATGCATTAGGCTATACAGGTCTGCTATGCAATATGAAGTTCAATTGATATCCATTGTAGATGCCTCAGTGAAACTGTTAAAAGTCATATGAGTCACTTATATATGCTGGATGTGATACTCTAGGACATCTCAGTCTTAAAATAAATGAGTCGTTTATCTGCTGATTACATTCATGAACAGTCATCTTTATATATATAGTGATAAGCATGTATGGGTGTTGTTTCCAACTTATTGAGACCTGGCCATTGAAAGTGGAAGACATGAAAAGACTAACTGTCTTTGGTCATAGGTGCCTTAGTTTTATCTCCCGTGTGAAGTGATATAATAAGGTGAGCAATATTGAGATTAGACGTCGAGTGCTAGGCAAGGAGGGGAAATCAATGGACGAAGCTGTGAAGCTACATTGACTGAGTTCGTTGGGACATCTGTTACGTATGCCTAGAAATCGCCTTCCTCGACAAGCAGTGTTAGCTGGCTGGTAAAGAGCTAGCGGCGGTCAAACCGAAACATGTCACCAGTCAATGAAATCCACAACAGTTAGTTTAAGCCAGCCATCCACGTAGGAAGGTGTAGACTTCCTGACTGGTTGGGGTCCTCGAGGTGGTAGAAACCAATGGCTGGAGACAATCGATGATGTGGCTCAAAATCGTTCTCAATGGCCGGCGTAGATGCATCCACTCCTTGTGACTTATAATTTCCTTCGTTATTACTATTCCTTTGTCTCACACCTCTTTTTGCTGTCTCTACTTTGCATTTCTTCTACTCTCTTCTGTTGCTTTGTGTGTTACATGGAGCGTGGCGACTTGAACTGTCGCACATATGTGCAAAGTTCTATGTCGAAAGCAGACAGAGACCTGATGGATCCAATCAGCAAGAATAATATAATTTATCAAATCCCATGTAATGACTATGTGGTCAATTTTATTGGTCAAACCAGTAGATCAGAGTCGGTTAGATTATCTGAACATCGATATTTGGCTAGATCTAGATTGACTGACTTTGCTAAGTTAAATAATCTAGAAAAAGCTCATCCATCACGATGCATTCACTTGCATGTAATCACATAAATGGATAGAATAGAAGTAATAAAAAGCAAATGTGGTTAGGTTGGAGATAGACAGCTTAATCATTGAATCTTTGTTCATTGAATCAAAAACAAACACCAGCAATCAAAATGATGTGATTGCGACAAAGTAATCAATTTTTGTTTTCCGTTAATTGAATTCAATTCCGTTGTATTGTTTATATTTTATTTTTATCTTGACCTTATTTATCTCAGTAAAACACCATTACGCCAAAAGAATGAAAACAATGTATCAGATTCTCAAGATTCACAACCACCATTACCGTCCACATGTGATGTTCCCACTTCTATTGGTCATTCTTTATTGTGTAGTCCAGAAAAACATTGTGAACTGATTGAACAAATTAAGAATTTAAAGTGTTCTTTGAAATCTGCACAAGATAAATTGGTAGGTGAAATCATTAACTCTTTTTAACTTACTTCGTCTCATTGTTGTTTGCGTGATCTATTTCTCTCATATTAAGTTATGCAGAATGATTTAATTGTTTATTTACCTATTTTTAGTGTGCTCGACAGAACAATTCTTGATACAACGCTGCTATTCTGTATTAATTTATATACTGGGCTATCAACCTGACTCCATATATATATATATATATATATATATATATATATAATGGACTTACTTACCACCGGGCTGCTCAAATAGGAATAGTTGGGATAACGCTTGAACGTTGAAAATTAGTGTATATAGACAGTGCTTAAGCCGACAAGTCAAATGACTCTTGAATCGACCACCACCTGCAACTCGCCCTGAAATACCACTGCAAGTGGACACCAACCGTCCAATGAAGGCAGGAATCCTGAATGCAATCAACCTACTGAAGTCCGGGAAGGCAGCAGGACCAGATGGAACTCTCCCAACTTCGAAGCACTAAGAACTGACCCAGAGACTGTGGTAGATGCGTTCACGCCAGTATTGCAAAAGGTTTAGAAAGAAGGAAAAGTACCTACCGATTAAAAGAAAGGCTACCTTGTCAGGCTGCCAAGGAAGGGCGATCTTGGCCTCTGCAAGAGCTGACGTGGAATAATGATCTCCACGCCAAACAAAAAGTTAAATCGCCTCATCCTGGAGAGAATAAAAGGCACACTGGATGCAGAACCCCACCTGTCGGAACATGTTGGATTCAGGAAAGGCAAATCATGTGTTAATCAAATTGGAACTCTACGCATCGTCATCACAGAACAAAGCATAGAATGGCAGTCACACCTATACCTCTACTTCATTGACTTCAAAAAGGCTTGCACCAGACATCGTCGACTGCGGTGTAATTTGAAAACTGCCTCAACACTACGGGATGCACTGCCCAATCTCTATCAACCTCATTCAACAGCTGGCTATATGACAACGCCACGTGTCATTTGTTGGTGATCCGCAACGGAAAGCTCAGCGTGGCGTTTGGAGTCAATTCAGAAATAAAACGAGCTGGTTATTATCATCAATGATATTCCTAATTGTAGTGGACTGGATTATGCGTCAGGCTACGCAATGGGAGCGAGGAGACAGGAATATTCAGCACTGATCGATAAGAAGACTCGAGAAGATCTGGATTTCGGATGTGGAAGATTTATGTTTAATGTAACACGGACTTACATGGGAAAACCAACAAACTGGCTGAAGAAGCTGGCAGGTAGCGAAGACATGACCACAGGTGAACATAGAGAAGATGGAGATGATGAAGATAACCAACAAACAGCAACTACAAAAACAAACATCGATCACTATCAACGGGAGAGATTTGACAGAGGTTAATTCCTTCATTTATCTAGGATCATTTGAACCACAGGCGGAAACCACGGATGATGTCAAAACAGGCCAGAATCAGAAAGGCAGGATACGCCTTCATCAATCTGAAACCAGTTTGAAAATCTTCTGCACTCAGCCAGCATAAAGAACAAGATTCAGATTTTTACCACATATGTGAAGTCAGTCATTCCTTCTGTACGGTTCAGAAACTTGATATGTGCGTCACAAACAGCATTCACAACAGGTTACAAATTTTTATCAATAGCTGCCTTCTCTGGCTCCATACTGAAGATCAAATGGCCAGAAAGAATTGGCAATGGGAAACTCTGGGAACAAACTGACTGAGAAAACATCGTTCAACAAATATGTTAGGGAGAATGGAGATGGATCGGGCATACGTTGAAGAGGCCGTAAAATGACATCACGTGCCGTACACTGCCTCGAGTTGAACTCGAATGGGGAGCGACGAGTGGGCCATCGGTGCGAGGTTCACATGGAGAAGATAGTGTGAGTTAGTGGAGATGAAGAGGACAACACCAACTAGAGCAAAGTGGAAGTGTGTTGTTGAAGCCATATTTTCCACTTGGAAGTCAATGGAACAATAATAATGATAATAATAAGTCAACAAGTCACTTCAGTACTCTTATAATTACACTACTTGGATTATCTGTCAAAAACTATTTGATATAGTTTACGTAATATGATAATACTTCTCGATTAGATTTGACGCTCGACTGCAAACCTGAGAAAAAATCAAATCACTTTTTTTGTTTTCCATTCATACATTTGCCAATGAATTACACTGATTACTTGAAGAACGATGAAAACAATTGTTTGTATATCTCTGTTAATAATTGAGGGACAAGTTAACCTTTGCGTGTACACCTCAGTAATCATGCCATCTGTACTTCACCAGACAGTAATTATTATTATTTATTTTCTTAGGATCCATTTCATCCCCTTCTCTGCAGTCATCTTTGGCTGGCTCGAAGATTGCCAGTGGGCTCTCATCTTCTCTTCGTACAATCACCTCCATGTTACCCTCTCAACACATGCCCAACTCGTCTTTTCCTATTCGAGTTCCATCCGCCAGTTCGGTGCTCGATATCACTCAGTGGTCTGATCCATCTCCATTTTCTTCTGCATATTTGTTGGACAATAGGCTATATCCTTGTTAATAATCTTCACTGGTCATATTATTTTTAGTGTGTAGCCAAGACAGATTTTGATAAAAGTGTGAAGCCGGTTGGAAATGCTTTTGTTTACACGTCGAATCTCTGAACTATGTCGAAGAACTGACTAGACATTGAAAATCCGATTCTTGTTCCTTCATGCTAAGTGCTGAAGATTTTCAAACTGATTTCAGAGTGATGGTTGTTTGTTTTACCTTTCTGATTCTGGTTTTGACATCCTCATTGGTTCCACCTGTAGTTGAAACGATGCTGCCTAGATTGGTGACAGAGATGATTTCCTTCAAACTTCACCCTTTGTTGATGGTTGATACTTCTTCTTCTTCTTGGTTGGCTATCTTCATCTCCTGTGTCTTCTCTGTCCTGTTTTTTTTTTACTGCCAACTTCATCTGTGCTTGTAGCTCTTCGATTTCGTGTGACATTAAAGATAAATCGTTCACGAAGTTTTCCTATCGGTCCAACACATTCCTGCCTTCTCGTTTCCCTAGGCCTGCTATATGATCCAGTCCACCACAATAATCAGGAATAACTTAGGTGATAGTTGGCAGTCTTGTCTTATTCCTGTCTTCCCCTCACTAGCATTGCTGAGTTTTCCACTGTGAATTACTTGGCGTGTGAAACCATCATACAGCTGTTGAACGAGGTTGATAGTATTAAAGCAGTTTCCAAATTATTTCGCATTCAATGCCGTCGAAGACTTTTTCTAAGTCGATGAAATCGAGGTAAGGATTTGACTGTCATTCTATTCTCTGTTCGACAATAATGCTTAACTTTGAGATTCAATCTGCACATGATTTACTCTTCTTGAATCCAGCTTTTACCAGGTGGAGTTTCACATCCGGGAAATCTTTTAGTGTCTTCAGAATGACTCGACCTTTGATTTTACTCCCATGGATAGGTCCCTAATTCCGCATCATTGTTTGCGAAGTCTCAAGTCACTTTTCTTTGGTAGTTCCTATCAGTAAGTACCTGTTCTTCCTTCCAAAGTTTCCACAATAGTAGTGTATCCTCTGAGGTTTTTGAATCCATTTCCAGTGCTTTCCGATGAATTCTGTCTAGTCATGCTGCCTTATCGGCCTTCAGTAGCTTTATGGCATTCGAAACTCCTGCTTTTATCGGAGGAGTGATGTTAACTGTCACTGCTGTGACTGTTTGTGGTATTTTTGCAGGAGCTGCAGGTGGTGATCGGTTCAAGAGGCCTTTGAAGTGATCAGTGCATTGTTTTATCTGTTTCTGCTCTTTGATAATTAGGTTATGTTTACTATCTTTCATGTTTATCTCTTCCTGGATATCCACCTGGTTATCTTGTTTTAGTGATTCTGAGGTACCTCTTATCCTCAGCCTATTCTGCTTCAGTTGCCAGTGTGTCGTAGAACATCAGAGGGTTAGATATATTTTAATAACACTATTAGTATTCTAACATTTAGGTTAATTTTTTATTTTATTATTTTTGATCACAGCTTGATTCCACACTGTATTTTTGGTACAAGTATGGAATTCTCAGCATGTGATATCGGTAGCCCAAATTTCGCAGGCCGACCATAGATATCAGGTGTGTTTCGGCAGGGATCAAACGTCGGACCGTGTTCATGGTCGGCGAGAGTCCTAACCACTGTGCCACCGACGCAACATTGACTTACGTTTCAAAAACTGTTTGTTTTAATCACCATTATTGTGATTTATTTTTCTGATAAATTTCTTATGAACATATTTATCATGCGTAAACTGAATCTTCTTTTTATATTGTTTATAGATGAGAGAATCTCTGTCAGCGAAATCTGCCAATTGTAAAGTAGAGGTAGGCTGGTAACTGTATACTTACTTTTAATGTTATGAAAAAATCCTTTGGGGCTGATTCATTAAGCCTTTAGCGATGTTAGGTATTCAAGGATAAACTTGTTTCATAGTGTCCTGAACCTCAGAAGATTTATGTTGAAGTTGAATTGTCGCAGCCAAAACCACAGTGATCTTGAACAACTTATCAGAATTCAGGTGCAAAAAAGTCTTATAATCGTTGAAAAATGCATTTAAAAAAACATCGCAAATTGTCACTTATGTGATATAAGAATATATGCCAGTCACTACACACGGATCGGGACCTGATTGAATGACTCCAGAGGTATTTAAGAATGGAGGAAACAGTTTACCATCTGTGTTAACTAAGGTACTAGGCAGCTTCCGGGAATCAAAGGAAGTCCCGTAGGGTTGGAGTGAGTCATTGATTATCCCCATATACAAGAAGGGAGACAAGTCTTCCTGTGATGATCACAGGGGATTAGGTTGACCAATATGGTGTCTAAAGTTCTAGGCTCAGTAATTATGCGTACACTAAGTGGTTCTCGGGAGGAACTAACACGAGAGAACCAGGCAGGCTTTAGACCAAGAGTAGGATGTATTGATTATATCTTCACCATTCAACACATTCTGGAACATAGGCATACTTACCGGCGTCCAACAATCGTTATATTTCTTGACCTAAAGGCGGAATTCGATTCTGTCGACCGAGAGGTACTCTGGCGATGCTTGGCCGTAAAGGGAATTCCGAGAAAATATATTGCACTGATTAAGGCACTCTACTCGTACTCATACAGCCACGTGAGGGCTTACGGCGAGTTGTCATCTGAATTGAGGACGACTAGTGGTGTCCGTCAAGGATGCCCATTATCCCCATTTCTATCCAACTTCATCATAGATGTGTTAATGGACTTAACCCTAAGTGACTTCAGCGACTCAGGGATTGACTTGCTACCAGGGAATAATCTCGTTGACTTGGAATATGCAGACGATATAGTCCTTCTAGGCGAGGACGCTGAAAAAATTACAGTCTTCTGAACACCTTGAGCTGCAATCTGAGAATGTTTGGCATGAGATTCGCTCCCGTCAAATGTTAGATAATGTTGCAGGACTGGATTACATTGACTCCTAGCTTAGAAATAAAGAGTGAAGTAGTAGAGCGCGTTGACCACTTTACTTATTTGGGAAGTACCATCAGCCAGTCCCAACAGGTTGATCTCTGACGAAATCTCAGCACGGATACAGAGGGCTAGTTTCGCATATGCCAGTTTACGCCGTCTCTGGTGTAGACGTGATATTTGGCTATCCACCAAAGTCTTTGGGTTGCTGTACCGTATAAAAAGCCAGACTATACCTCAAACCTGATGCCAAACCAGTTTTTAGACCAAAACGCCCAGTACCGTATGCCGCATTATCGTCCCTTGATGCAGAGCTGGATCGTTTAGAAAAGTTGAACGTAATCAAGCCAGTCGATTACTCATCCTGGGCAGCCCCCATAGTGGTTGTCAAGAAAGCAAACGGTACCATCAGACTTTGTGCTGATTTCTCAACAGGACTCAATAATGCCCTTGAAGATCAACCGTATCCACTACCAGTACCGCAAGATCTATTTGTCAAACTGAATGGCGGTAAATACTTCAGTAAACTTGATCTAGCTGAGGCATACCTACAGATCGAGGTCGAAGATGATTCTAAAGAGCTTCTGACAATCAACACTCACAAAGGACTGTATCAGTTCCAGCGACTTCCATATGGTGTTAAACCTGCTCCTGCTATATTCCAACAGATAATGGATGCAATATTAGCTGGTGTATCGGGAGTGGCCGTTTACCTCGATGATATCATAGTCACAGGAGAAACTCAATTCGAACTCTTCAATCGGTTGGATAAAGTCCTGACAATACTCAGTGATTCCGGTTTCCATTTACGTCCGGATAAGTGCAATTTTTTCATGACTTCAGTGAAGTACCTGGGATTCATTTTTGACAAAGATGGTCGCAAACCCGACCCCTCCAGTGTGTCAGCAATTCAACAGATGCCTGCCCCTAATAATCTCAGTACGTTGCAGTCCTTCCTGGGGATGATCAGTTACTATAGTGCGTTCCTGCCAGATTTACATCGTCTCAGGGCCCCAATGAATCAGTTGCTCATGAAGAATGCTAAATGGAACTGGTCAGAAGAATGCCAACAAGCTTTCATCAAGGTCAAGAAATTACTCCAGTCTGACCTGCTGTTAACACATTACAATCCAAAGCTGGATATAACATTAGCTGCAGATGCGTCCAACTATGGTATTGGCGCTGTCATTTCACATGTGTTTCCAGACGGTGTTGAAAAGCCAATAGCATATGCATCGCGAACCTTGACAAAGGTAGAGCAGAATTACAGTCAGGTCGAAAAGGAAGGATTAGCGCTCGTGTTTGGGATTCAAAAGTTCCACAAAATGCTGCTTGGCCGAAAGTTCACACTTTTTACTGATCACAAACCACTATTATCGATTTTTGGCTCCAAGAAAGGTATTCCAGTCTATACAGCCAATCGACTCCAACGATGGGCGACTATGCTACTAGGATACGACTTTCAGATCAAGTACAAATCTACAAAAGATTTCGGGAATGCAGATGTCCTCTCGCGTTTACTCAGCTATAACAAGCCCGCAAAGGAGGACGCTGTGATCGCCGGCGTTTCTGTCGATGAAGACGTGTGCCACGTATTGATGACGGCAATAAACACTTTACCTGTCTCAGCCGACATGGTTCAACGAGAGACGCAGCGTGACCCGACATTACAGTCAGTTCAACAGTATCTGCGTTGTGGCTGGCCCTCGCGTATTGATTGTCCAGATTTAAAACAGTTCTATCAACGACGACATTCGTTATCCCTGGTCAATGACTGCATTATGTTTGGCGAACGTGTGGTCGTGCCTCGAAGTCTCCAACAAAAAGTCATGAGTCAACTACATTTTACGCATCCTGGTATTGGCCGTATGAAATCGTTGGCACGCTGTTACGTCTACTGGCCAAATATCGATCGTGAATTAGAAGTGATGGTTCGCTCATGTTCTCGCTGTGCTCAGGCTTTGAAAATGCCTATCAAGACAGACCTACAGCCGTGGCCCAACCCAGGAAAACCGTGGTCAAGAATCCACATAGATTTTGCCGGCCCAATCAATGGCAAACAGTTTCTCGTGGTAATCGACGCGTATTCCAAGTGGCCGGAGGTTTTCATTATGCAAAATACCACAGTGACGATAACATTAAATAAGTTGGTTCAGCTTTTCAGCAGATTTGGTGTTCCAGAGATCATCGTTTCCGATAACGGACCTCAGTTTACAGCTGAACAATTCAAACAGTTTTGTGAGCGGCTAGGTGTTCAGCATATTCGCAGCCCGCCTTACCATCCTCAGTCAAATGGACAAGCAGAGCGTTTTGTTGATACACTCAAGCGCGCACTTCAGAAGTCAAACGGGGAGGGATCGATAGAGGATGTATTGCACAATTTCCTCTTCATTTATCGAACCACAACCAACCCATCATGCCCAAATCAAACATCTCCCGCAGAAGTTATGTTTGGAAGAAGATTACGTACTACTTTGGATACAATTATCCCGATCCCATCAAGACGGAGCAAATGTGGTCGAAATAGTGAATTTTGGTTCAATAGACGTCATGGCACCAAGCAAAGAAGTTTCATGGTTGGTCAGTCGGTACTGGTTCGTGATTACATACGGAGAGATCGCCCATGGGTTTCTGGAGTGATCGTTGGAAGAAAAGGCCAAGTCATTTACAAGGTCAAGGTTGGAGACCTTATTTGGGTCAGGCATGCCAATCAAATAAGAAATAGACTAGTTGGTAAACAGTTGAACGATTCCAAGTCCGCCGACGTACAATTTGAGCTATTGATAGATACGACGGATCCGAAAACGTCACATGGCCAAAATAGTCGAAACAAAGGCAAAGTGTCCCAGCAGCCAAGGAGATCACAACGACAACCAAGACCGCCAAAGTACCTACAAGTGATTCCGCGATACAAAAGCTACCGGTAGCCCTATCTTAAAAGGGGAGGTGTTAGGAAGAGGCAAAACACATGCAATTATCAAGTTATTAGCGTGTCGTTGACATGCATTTGTTTCTGCTTTCTGATTGGACGCTTGCACAATTCCAAACTCTCAACCGGATTGGTTGATTTCCAGTCTACCTTATTTCTGTATAAATACAGTCACTTTTGTCATAAATAAATGATTCTGGTTTTACCGCTGATTATCGCGTGTTCTGCTTTACCAGTTAAGTGGGCACTGGTCAGTAGTTAAGCAGTTACCTCGAGACAAAGATCTAGCATCATAACAGGTGGGTGTACTGCTCATCAGTCCTCTCCGTCCTTTATGGCTGTGAGACGTGGCAATTGAGAGTGGAAGACATGAAAAGACTAGCTGTCTTTGATCATAGGTGCCTGCGTTCTATCTCCCGTGGGAAGTGGTATAATAAAGTGAGCAATATTGGGGTTAGGCGTAGAGTTCTAGGTAGGGAGGGGAAATCAATCGACGAGACTGTGAAGTTATATCGATTGAGATGGTTATGACATGTGTTACGTATGTCTAGTCATCGCCTTCCTCGAAGGACAATGTTAGCTGACAGGGTCGGGCTGGAAAAGAGCTAGCGGAGGTCAAACGAAAACATGATTTCATCAGTCAATGAAATCCACAACAGTTAGTTCAAGCCAGCCACATAGGGAGGTGCAGACTTCCAGACTCGTTGGGGTCCTCGGGACAGTAAACACCAGTGGCTGGAAACAATTGGTGATATGGCTCAAAATTGTTCTCAATGGTTGGTGCAGATGCATCCACTCCTTGTGACGTATAATTTCCAATGAAACTATATTGTTCTACGTTATTTCTCTTCCTTTGTCTCACACCTCTTTTTGCTGTCTCTACTTTGCATTTCTTCTACTTTCTTCTGTTGCTTTGTGTGTTACATGGAGTGTGGCGACTTGAACTGTCGCAAATATGTGCAAAGTTCTATGTCGAAAATAGACAGACAGACACACGGATAATCTATAGAGAAATCATACAATGCGCCATAAGTATGTGGCATGTGCTACTGCTAGTTTCTGGAAAACGCAAGTGTTGCAAATTCGAAGAGTTTCCGAGTGACTCGCAACCTTAGTGTGGCTAGATTATGTATCATAGTGTTATATGCGGCTTGTAGCCTCCTCGTCACCAGTGAACGAGAGGCTATGGTTCAACCAAGATCAGTATTGAGAACATCTGTAAAACGCTGACTCATTACATCAAATATATATATATATATATATATATATATATATAATTTCTGGATTTGATTGCGTACGGTACTTAATGGTAACTCCATTAATCCATACTCTTGAACCAGTCAACACTTAGGAGACTTCAGTTGGTGTTGGCAGTACAGCGAATTGATTTCATTGTTGTATAGTTGAAGAAACTAAACGAGAAACACTCCCTGCTAGGGACAAACAGCCATCTCATTCACCGACTGAGGCTTGATGTTTTCTGGATATAGGTCTATATGACTTTCAACCACGGTTGTTTGAATACAGTCGTGATATCTAATGCTCTGTCTATCTGTAGCCGTAATGAATGGTCGTTCACTTGAGTCCTGGTGAATTTTTAGAAGACAGTTGCCTGCAAACGGGAGCCAGCAATCTGACTGAGAGCTTTATCTAGTGATTTGGATTGGCATTTGTGATAACTTCTCAAGGATGGCCATTGTGAGTGTCACTCTGTACTTGTTGACCAAATGTATTACAAACCCAGCATAGCTAATGTTTATACTGACTAGGTTTTACAAAGTGCCGAGCATCACAATACCGGAAGGACGAGAGATGAGTCATTTTTCGGCTTTGTATCGCAACCGGGCTGATGGGTGGTCGTGGTAGTGTAGCGTGTGGTACTGATAAGATTTACCAGTAGTATATATAAAGGGATGTTCATCGGCATTAAAAACATCAAGTAGTAGGGAGATAGATTTGGTGTTAGCGAAAGAAAATAATACAGCGTTGTGGAGATACATGTGAGACTTGAAAAGGAACACAGAAACACAATATGAAGCCCAGAAGTAGTACAATACGGAGGATCTGTGCAAATGGTGATTTGAAGTTAAGGTAAACATAATTTGGTTATATAGGGATGCCACCAAGCCTCTCGTCTACTACCGTTTCAGATTCATTCATACAGATGACTGTAGATCGTGGTACTTTCAGAACCACTGACATAATCTCAAATACCATGACCCTGCCTAAAAGTATCTTGCAAACTTTATCAGCATGCAATCTCACGCATATCTCAACACTTAAATTCAAATAACACTCACTGTCTACTGGAACATTAATAAATAAAAGCTACCTACTCTCCGTCTGATAGTTGCGCATAGAGGTTACATGTCACACGGAAAACATACTTTTTGTAGAGCTGAATTTGTTGAAATCCTCTGCATGGTAAGACATTTTATTCCTTGTTGTAATTTCTCAACACTAAACGGTCTGTCCTGTCATTTTTTTTAAAATGTATACTTTAGGAGCTTAGTCAGAAGGTGTGTAGATTGGAGGAAAATCTGGCCTCTCAAACATGTTTACTTCAAAATTTTAGACAAGTGAGTTTTATTTAAGTAATACATGGAAATGATTACAGATTGAATGAATAAAGTTGTTTTTATCGCACCAGATTTGTATATTATTTTGTCGATGAAACAATTTAGAATGTTTGTATTTGCATGATTAGGGTCTTATCAACCTACAAATACTAGCTGTGAACACTACACTTGGCTGTATAGAACACATTGAACTCAATACCTGTGAAGAATAGTACTCTTGAACACTACACTGCAGATCTGGAAATCATAGTGTGATCTGAAAATGGTTCAGTGTGTCCGAAAAAATATCTAAATTCCAAGTGTTTGTTTGCAGAGACTTGGTTGGTTACTGGTTCTATAGTGAGCTGAGAATCAGATGAAGAGCACCTGAAAAACCAGGAAGTACTGAACAGCTGTTTCGCCCCAGTTTGGGGCTTTTTAGCAGGGTGTAATTCCATCACAGAATAAGCTTATTCGATAAAAAACAATGGTATAGTGGGTGAACAGTCTACGAGCTTTTCTTATAACTGGAAGGTCGCCGGTCCGAGCCCCGTTAGGTGTATGCTGATGAAGAGTGCCAAGCCAGAACGAAATAGCTGTTGAGTACTACTTGGTTTCCCAGTGGTTCTCTAATTGATATCAGCTTATGGCCAAACATGTAGACAATATCTAAACACTGGTTCAGAATGGACATACATCCGCACTCATTGATAAGTATTTGGGAAAAATCTGATAATCCCTGCAACATACAAGTACCGAAACTGATTACAACAGGTAAAATTCTTCGAAGCTAATTATGCGAAGTGGTTTGGAGAGCATTATTGGCCACAGTCAATGTGCCTTTTTATTCTCACCATCAACAGGTATTTAGCGATTCCGTTGCTCCTACGGAGATAAATACATTATAAAAATGTTCCATATGATTGTCAGTAGGGAGAATGGATATTCATGTGAGGACAAATACTCGCCAAAGACATTGGCTGGTGGTCTCACTATGATGTGAATTTGCAGAAGTTGGAATTCATGGGCTGTCCATTGGATCAGTTCCCAGCGGCTTAATGGTCTACGAGCTCGCCTTGTAACGCAAAGGCCCTGAGTTCGAACCTCGGCAGTGGACGCGTACTGATGAAGAGTCCCGAACTAGTACGAAACGGTTGTCCAGTACTCTCAGGTATTACAGAGGCTCTCTAACCGTCGTCAGCTCTTGATGAAATCCTGTAACCAGGATGGATATTGTTGTTTTCTATCTTACTATATCCATAGAATTTTTTCAATTTGATATCAGTGTATGAATTAGTTGATCGAAAGAAATCTGCTTACATCCATATGTAGCTGCAAGACCGCTGTCTACATGGAAAATATCGTAAACTCTGAGTACGCGGGCGTTCTGTTCAAACTTTTGTCTTATTATCATGGCTTTAAATTTAAAATTTATCAGCTGGTATTATTATTTTGCATATAGTTCGTTTTCACTCCTCCGCTGAACTTTTGTTAAATGTATGCACATCTTGTGCATATTATTCTTGTTCCCAAGCGTGCGCATTTTGGCCACGATTTCGGATTGCTTTTCATCTTTTAGTGTACCAGGTAATATGACATTGCTTAACCACGTTTCAAAACTTAACCTTTTTTTCATAGAGCGTATCATATTATGTTGTCGACCGACGCCAATCCCTGTTGGTATTTTCCATGATTTTTTAGAAAAACTTCCTAACTGTGTACACGCTTTGATAGAAAAATATGGAGTCATCTTTATTGGAATTTCTCATGTTATTTTTTCTTTTCATTTTAGGCATTTGACAGTTTGAATCGAAACTATCAATCAGTTTTACAATCACTGCCCCACTTGCTGAAGAAGGTTGCACGTGTAGCTGAACCTAATTGTGTACTTGGCGATATTACTAGTCAACTGGTAGGTTATCCTAAGTTCCTTAGTCTGGTAACTACTTTTACTTCTAGTGTTTTGCTGGAATTATTCATTGAGTTTGTTTTTGCATATGTCCTCTGCTTTTCCAATCCCTCTGATACTATGTTTTTACTTATTTTGCTAGAACCAGTGTTTGGATCTACGTCCTGGCTGCATTCCTGTGGACGGATCTTCAGCCAATCTTCAAAGACATACTGTACGTTTTTGCTTTTTCTATGCTAATTTGTCTTAGGGATATAGAATGAAAAGTTTGTATGCAGTTTTCTGAACCCATGCAGTAACAAGGCTAGCCATTTGATAATTACGCACAATAATGATCTCTCCGCCTAAAATGCTCCTGCATACCAGGTGACTACAAAAGTCCTATTCCGTAACATTTAGAACTCTGTAAATGTATGCCTAACGCTTTATATGATAAGAACAGATTTTAATAGTTTCCCACTGTTGAGATATATGTGGGAAGAGATGCCTAAGGGAACGTGCAAATAGTTAGTTAGTTGATAGTTAGCCTTTAAATTAAATAATTCCATATGTTTTTTCTTATTTTTAGGTCCTTTCCTGTATACCTGAAAAGCCCAGAAAAAATGAAGATGAATCACAGTTCCCAAGGTAGTCTAACGAACAAGACATTGTAAATATACTTACTCGTGATCTTTCCGTGCATGTACTACTATTTTCTCATCTCAAATATACGCATTTATTTCATTCTCATGCATTGCTTCACTTATGTTGGCCAGCAGCTAGGATTCCTGGCTCTCACCCAGGCGTGAGTGTGATGACAACCATTGCTATCCGTCAGGGGTACCCACCCTCCTCATTTTTGTTTAATTTCATTATAGATGTACTAATGGACTTAACCCTACCTCACTTTAGCGACTCAGGGATTGACTTGTTACCAAGGGATAATCTCGTTGACTTAGATTATGCAGATGATATAGTCCTTATAGATGAAGACGGTGACAAAATACAGTCTTCTGAACACCTTGAGGAATAGCAGTTTTTGAATGTTTCGTATGTGATTCACTCCTGTCAAATGTAACATGATGTTACAGGATTGGGCTACGTCGACCTCCCCCCCCCAGCTTAAAGATAAGCAGGAGTGAAGTGGTAGAGCGTGTTGTTGACTACTTTACAGACTTGGGAAGTTGCATCAACCCCAGCAGGTCGATTGCTGACGAAATCTCAGCAAGGATACAGGACGCTCGTGTGGCATTTGCCAACTTACGCGTAGGCGTGATATCTAACTGTTGTCGACCAAAAGGCGTGTGTACTGCTCAGCAATTCGCTCCATCCTGCTTTATGACTACGAGATATGGGCATTGAAAGTGGAAGACATGAATAGGCTAGCTGTCTTTGATCAAAGATATCCACATTCTATTTACCGTGGTAAGTGGTATAATAGGGTGAATAATATTGAAGTTTAGCGTAAAGTATCAGGTAAGGAGGGAAAGTCAGTCGACGAGGTTGTGAAGTTACACTGGTTGAGATGGTTAGGACATATGTTTCGCATCCCCAACCATAGTCTTCCTCGACGGGCAATGCTAGCTGACATAGGATCAGGTTGGAAAGGAGCTAGTCGTGGTCAAACCAAAACATAGCCTCATCAGTCAATGAAATTCATAACAGTTTAAGCGAACCAGTCACGTAGGGAGGCGTACACATCCTCGTTGGTGTCCTAGAAACAGTAAGAATCAAGGGCTGGAGATAATTGGTGATATGGCTTAAGGTCACTTTCAATGGTGCAGATGCATTCATTCTTTGTGATCTCCTATATCCATTTAACCCTGTTGTTTTCCCATGTTGCTGCGCTTTCACCCCCACATTTTTGCTCATTATTGTCCTTAAGATCTCTTTTTTGTCTATCTTTGTGTGCTACATAGAGTGTAGCAACTTGGAATGCTGCACTTCTGTGCAAAGTTCTATGTTAAAATCAAACAGTCGGCTTCACTTGCAAAAAGATTTGCTTCAACAAGTATACTCTAGTCATTGTAACGGAAACAGGTAATTGTTAATGTTTACAAGTTTAATTCGGTTTGTTTCATGCCGTAGTTTTAAGCATCATTATAACCCTACTGTGTTTATTTATTTCTGAAAACTATAAGGATAGCTATAGTATTGTAAAAAAAACAATTTAGAAGAATAAAGTATGTATATATTTAAACATGAAATAATATGAAAAGTTGAAAGGATTTGTACAATCTAGTTTGTTCAGCGATGTCGAGGATCTGTAAAGAGAAAAAAAAAATAATATTCATCGATGATTATGGTATTTTTCACTTTAAAACTATTTACAATAAAAACACTTTAATCACAAATAGCCTTTATGAAATTGAACGCAGCCAATATTTTATCTGCGTTGTCGCCGAGTACTTTGCATATTTAAATGCAAAATGGCATAAAGGATGACGTCCATCCAGGCTTATTCTTGAAAGCAGGTGGTGTTTAAAAGATAACACCATCAGGCAATTATTACTTATTAGTCTTTTTAGCTACGTAGTAGCACTTGAATTTTTGACCAGGAGTATGCATTGAGAGCACACTATAAACATTATGAGTGGTTGGTTTTGTTGTTGACCGACAGTCATATTCTAAGAGATGTGTTCAACTTACTATTGGGAATATGCTATTAAGAAAGCTGGCTGTCGAGTGATGTAACTACCGTACATATCCCAAGATAACACAGTCGAATGGGGTTGGGGAGTTACCAAAGGAAATGCAATTTTAGGCAGAGGACGCCGCGTGTATGTGTTTAATTTGAGAAAAAGGTAGTTGCTTAAATATCTGGAAGTAAAATTCCTCTTGCAATATAAGAGAATAGTATGTGTGCACTCTTAGAAATCAATAGTAAGTTTAATGTAGCAAGATGATTCATCTTGCCATCGGGAGTCATTAAACAAAGAAGCTTTGAAGAAAATGATTATGAAGGTTAGGTCGACAAAACTTTTTCAGATCGCTCAAAACATATCAGCTGTCTACGAATGTGAGTTAGGAATAATAAGATTGTGAATTTATTTCAGTGACAGTTGTTTGCAGCATTGGATAAGAAAAGTCTTAATTCGACAGTGAGAACTGCGTTCAGTACGAAGAAAACACTGTATTAATATTACTACAGCATGAGAACAAAAGCTAGGACCAAGCTATTACAATAGTCTTCTCCAATAATCGTGCAGTGAATCAAACTCAAAGTATGAGAACTAGCCTCACCCCCTCCCGCTGCGGAATAGGATTTCTGAACATATCAGCCACTATTGAATAACGTATGTTTAGACTGATATGCTGTAGCTCAGCAGTTTACAAAACGAAGAATGTTCAATTAGGATGGAACTGTTTTCCAGGTAAAGGTTAAGGTTAAAATGAACGAATAACAAGCTAAAAATGATAGAAATACTGAAACCGTCAACTTAGCGTCATATTATAAGTGATAATACTTATACCACGTAGGTGGTTCAACGTTGGAATGCTCGCCAACCAAGCGCTTGGCCAGGGGGTCGACCCTCAGCTGACGCAATCCTAAGTCTGTTTAAGCCAACAAAGAGGGAAAGATAACAACTCTATCCCATAAACATAAAACCACTGCTACCAAAAATTCGAAGCTCTAGCTTGAAGCCCTATGGTCTGCTCGGAACGTAAAGGAATATAATACATGTTACGCCACGTAAATGAAGGCAATGATGATAGTTTCAAAATGTGAGTATCTCTTGGACATTCAAAGATAAATACGTATGTCATAATAGTACAAGTTGGCTTTACCACATGATCGACAGAAATTCCAAAACCCAGAGGATCTACAAGACGTACAGTCCTGCAGCTTTCGAAACTTCTATCGAACTTGTTTCGTCATTCTGCTATAATTTGTTAGGATGTCAAACAATCCTATGCATCCATAACTGACCATATACTGACATGTTTATTTCCTTTAGAAAAAGCATGTACAGTTAGGCTGTACACACTTCTAGTAAATAAGTATACGTAAACTGAACTAGTATCCTCAATTTATTACATCACTGGGTATTTACAATTAAACTAAGACAAATTCTACGAAACATTCAACTGTATTTTAAAATAAACCACAAACAAATTCAGACCTCAGGGTTATTTAAAACCTTTTTCTATTTGGGGATGTGATTTCATCAAAGTTCATACCTAAAAAGGGAAGAAAGAAGTTTTTCAGATGACTATAACTATTTGTCAACATAACACTTAATAAATATGCAGGTACTATACACATCTAAACATTTTACATATCAGAATTTTATGTATTACAGAGCAACTGTGAATTAGTCTTTAGAATTAAAACTGAATTGTAATGAGATGCAAAAGAAAACTCCCAGGAGAACAGATTTCAAAAGTGTTAATACTTAGACTTACCTTCATGGATAGCTTCTATATGCCGCTTTAAGCTTGACTTTTGAGAGAAATTTCGCTGACATATCTCACATCCAAATGGTTTAAGACCTTAAAAAAGACAATCTGTTTGAAAAAAAGCTAACATCAACTAACCTTTATGAACAGCATCAATATGTTTATGAAGATCAGAGTTCCGGGTAAAACCTTTATAGCAGTATGTACATTCGAATGGTTTTACACCTGTAAAGTGAAAGTTGACAATATGTAAACAAGGGTGGATTGGAAAAGATTAGTTGATGATATTGATTAGAGTAAAAACGATACACTAAAAACAGTAAAAGTGACTAACCTTTATGCACTGCTTTGATGTGTGTGTTTAGATTACAGTGTTTGGTGAACACTTTATTGCAGAATGCACAATTTAAAACTCGGAAATCTATTGCAAAGAAAGGAAGAAAATAAATTAAAAAGCAAAGTGAAAATATGGAAGGAACAATTAACTATGAACTAATAGGGATCTTACTAAACAATGACCCCCAATGTGATAAGTAACAAGGCTGGAACAAATGTAACTTATGCTTTCTCTATATTTGAATGGATAATAATCAAATACTTCATGAAGGTACCAAGTTCACCCTAAAACCTAGCGATGCTACATTCTTACAAACGCAATACAGCCGTGATTATTCTGAAGACGAATTACTCATCAAAGTTACGACTCAATTCATTGTCATGTTGTCCATTAAATCTTACCACAAAATATACCAGTGGTACTTCTTACAAAAAATGGGTGTTTCTCAAAATTACTGTAACAGATGAAAGGGACATTGAGGGTAGAAATAAGTAAGCCAGATACACCAGATTGACTTGAGCTCTTACGAAGCAAGGACTCCATTTTTGAATAGCGAAAAAAACATGCGTAGCGTTCAGCAAACACACAAGCGGCTTAGTGAAATATTATAAGCAAATGTGTGCATAAAATAATTTACTGTTAATTAGCTATTAACACTGTAACCCCGCCTAGTTTACTATCTGGGTCCAAGCCCGGGAAAAGAGGGAAGGTTAGGTGCGGGGCTAGCGACAAAACACCATAAAGCCAACCAAACTGCTACAGAAACTTCAACACAAAAAATATCAGAAATACAAAGAACATAAAAGACATATTTTTCGTTGCAATCAGAGAGGCGAAATGATGCGGGCTAGTGAAAACCTTCGGGAAGCCAGTCAGCCGATTTTTCTTCTGTTGATGAAGGCAAGAATAAGAATGGGGACGTGGAATGTACGTAATATGTACGAGACTGAGAAGGATGCCCAGGTAGCCAAAGAAATGAGAAGACATGGTATAGAAGTGCTGGGAGTCTGCGAGAGCAGATGGAATGGATGTGGACTATCAAAACTGTCAACTAGTGAGTAAGTAATCTAGTTCCGTCTGGTCACCCAGACGACAACCATGAATATGTCAGCAGTGGCAGCCAAAGCTCTAATGGAATAAGGACCAGTTTCATTCAGGATTATGACAGCAGGATTATACTTAAAAGGAAGGTTACAATTACCCAATGGTACGCACAGTGCACCAAACAACGCGGAACAGGAGAAGGAAGATTTTTACAGACAACTACAAACAGTAATGGACAACATCCCGAATGGATATAACAAAATCTTCATGGGGGATATGAATGCCAAAACTGGGAGCTGATAATACAGGAAGACAACTCATCCATGAGTCAAGAGGCTCTCGCTCCAGGAAATGAATGAGAACAGAGAACTATTTGCAGACTTCTGTGCTCTCAATGGTTTGATGATCGGAGGCAGAGAGTACAGGCACACGAATATACACAAAGCAAGATGGATTTCGCTTGGTAGACACATCAAAAACCAGATAGATTTCATCTTAATGCTGCTGAAGGAGGTGGAGACGCAAAGTCGAGAAGAGGAGCAGATGTGGGCTCAGACCATAATTTTGTTCAGGGGACCTACCTATAAGGTGCAGCTAAAATCCTTCAGAACAACTGCAGACAAGCCAAAGTAATCCAAGTTCAACGTTCATGAACTGACGGACGAAACTACAAGGGATACCTTCACTACAGATCAGAGCAAAGTCGGAGACACTACCGTGGTATCACTCATGAGACCTGCATGGAAGAACATTGGAACTCTATGAAGTTGATTTTCAAGGAAACGTGTACAACTGTTCTAGGAAGAAAGAGGAGACAAGACAAGGAATGGCTTTCAACGGACACCTACCTGGAAGCTGATAAAAGAAAAGAGGATGGTGAAACAGAATATGAACCAATGCAAAGATGGGCAAAAGGAGAAGCTAAGTTCAATGCACACTGAACTGAATAAAGAAAAGGATTACTAGGAAAGATAAAAGACAATTCTACGACACACTGACAACTGAAGCAGGACAGGCCGCAGGTAGAAGAAACCTCAGAACATTATCTCAGATAACCAGGTCTCTATCCGGGAAAAGATCAACGAAAGTGAATCCTATAAAAGATCTTGAAGGGAACCTAATTACCAGCGAGGAGAAACGAATACAAGGGAATCTTGAATCGACCATCATCTGCAACTCATTCAGAAATACCACCACCAACACGTACAGAACTGCCAGTAGACATCAATCCTCCAATGAAGGCAGGAATCCTGAATGCAATCAACCTACTGAAGTCCGGGAAGGCAGCAGGACCAGATGGAACTCTCCCAACTTCGAAGCACTAAGAACTGACCCAGAGACTGTGGTAGATGCGTTCACGCCAGTATTGCAAAAGGTTTGGAAAGAAGGAAAAGTACCTACCGATTAAAAGAAAGGCTACCTTGTCAGGCTGCCAAGGAAGGGCGATCTTGGCCTCTGCAAGAGCTGATGTGGAATAATGACCTCCACGCCAAACAAAAAGTTAAATCGCCTCATCCTGGAGAGAATAGAAGGCACACTGGATGCAGAACCCCACCTGTCGGAACATGTTGGATTCAGGATAGGCAAATCATGTGCTAATCAAATTGGAACTCTACGCATCGTCATCACAGAACAAAGCACAGAATGGCAGTCACACCTATACCTCTACTTCATTGACTTCAAAAAGGCTTACACCAGACATCGTTGACTGCGGTGTAATTTGGAAACTGCTTCAACACTACGGGGTGCAGTGCATAATCTTTATCAACATCATTCAACAACTAGCTATATGACAATGATATGTGTGAGGTGGTGGTGATTCACAACGGAAGGCCCAGCATGGCGTTCGAAGTCAATGCAAGAGTAAAACAAGCTGGTTATTATCACCAATGATATTCCTAATTGTAGTGGACTGGAATATGTGTCAGGCTGCGCAATGGGAGCGAGGAGACAGGAATACTCTGTACTGATCGATAAGAAGACTCGAGAAGATCTGGATTTCAGATGTGGAAGATTTATGTTTAATGTAACACGGACTTACATGGGAAAACCAACAAACTGGCTGAAGAAGCTGGCAGGTAGCGAAGACATGACCACAGATGAACATAGAGAAGATGGAGTTGATGAAGATAACTGACCAACAGCAACAAAAACCAACACTTATCACCGTCAAAAGGAGAAACTTGAAAGAGGTTACTTCATTCAGTTATCTAAGAAGCATTGTTTCAACCACAGAAGGAATGGATGAAGATATCAAAGCAGGCCAGAATCAGAAAGGCAAAATACGCCTTCATCAACTTGAAACCAGTTTTAAAATCTTCTGCACTCAGCCAGCATAAAGAACAAGATTCAGATTTTTACCACATATGTGAAGTCAGGCAGTTCTTCAATATGAGTCAGCAATTTGGCCAGCGTGTCACGAAGAGGATTTACAAGTTACAGACTTTTATCAACAGCTGTCACCATAGTTGGTTCCATACTGAAAATCAAACGGTAAGTCGGCCAGAAAGAATTAGCGACAACAAACTCTGGTTGGGAACAAACCGGCCGAGAACCTATCGTTCAACAAATATGTAGGGGAAAATGGGGATGGATCTGGCATACGCTGAGCAGGCCGTCAAATTACATTATGCGTCAGAAACTCTCTCGAGTGGTTCGTCGATGCGAGAGTAACTTGTAGGAGATAGCGTTAGTGGAGATGAGAGATTATGGGCAACCGTGGACTCAGATGAAGAGGACAGTACCAAATAGAACAAAGTGGAAGCGTGTTGTTGAGGCCTTATGTTCCACTCAGGATCCAACGGCATGGTAATAATAATAGTTAACACTGACCTTTAGACAGATACGTCAAGATTATCACGAGTTAGAAAGCCGATTTACTTAATCAGTTTTGGACAGCCAGGTAGCATCACTATCCCTCACGCAGTAGGTGTAGCCTTAATGTCAAGTGCATGGAATTGCAAGTAGTTGTTGGGTAACATTTATCCATTATCTTCATCACACCAATTTCTATGTAATTCAGTATAGCATATCTCTAATTATTCCAGATGTGACAACTTGAACTTTTGTCTTAAGCTCTACGCTTTTAAGTTGGCCAATTCCTGTAATACGTCCTAATACGACAATAAACTCAAGCAGTGATACCGCTCAGACAGTCTACAGTCTTTTCACAGTTCAGACCGCTATCTTAATTTTTTGAGTCAGAAAAAATAAGACAAAGAACCACTTTGATTGATATATGGTTTTACTTGACTGACTATTTCTACCTCGAAAATGTCAATCTGGACAGTTGGACATTGCTGCTATACATAATCCAAGAAACTGCATACTCATCATCCGACGTTTTAAGCTTAAAAAAAGGCAAGGTATGCGCGAAACATACAGATTTAAGCTTCGGATGTCCAGAGGGCTCCTTCACCATTTTATTTAAGATTATATATGTTGTACGACCAAATACTGCCATCTAACCTGTCGAGAAGTCAGCATTTAGCCAACGAATCCTCATCTGGACCTGAAACCTGTTTGTCTTTCATAAAGTGTCTCCAAACGCAAATTTTTCTTTGCTGACGAACGAAAGTAGTCATTCTTCGCATAAAACATTTCGCATACGAAACTCAGGTAGACCTATAATAATAGATGCTGGTGAAAGTATTAATATTCGTGTTGGACATTGTGACGGCCGTAAGTAATGACTATACTATAAGTTGCAAACGAGTAATTTCGACTGAATCTAAGTTTAATTTTAGTTTCCCTTCTACCGAAAACTTCTACACAGCTACAGAGAAAAGAGTAGATCCACGAAAAATATTAAAAATTCACACTCGAAAGTGCTGGATTGAGGTACCATTTAATAAAGACTAAATCTTGTCGACAAAAATACGAAAACAGTAGTCTTACTTGGATCTTCTTCTCCATTACTTTTGCGACCTTGTTCATTTCCCATGGCAGCAAATCCGCTAAGATCATATTGTTCAGTATCTATCTCTGTACCTAACCCGAGATGTTTAAAATTTTGTGACCATACCTTCATGCATTAATTCAAAGTGTTTGTGTAAAAGACTTTGGCTACTGAATGTCTTTCCACAAAGGCAACAGATACTGATAAGTTCACCTAAAAATGTTAGTTTAAAAACAAGTAGTTACCATCATCACAAGCATCTGCGAAGGTTGGTCCGACACCATTTGGTTCATTCATTTTAAACGTCTGTATATATGGAAATCATTAACGTGAATTAAAAAAATGAGATCAAAAATATTGAAACGTTTTCAAAAAGCTTAATGTTAAGCAATGGTAAATATGTGAGGCGCCAGAAATATTAGCTGAATTAGGATTACGTTGGAAAAGAGTTACAGGTAGTAGGACCAAAAAATGAAGCCAATCTATCAATTCAGTGGTTGTTGGTTTCAGTCATATAAAAGACAGTTAGAGTAGCAAGGATATATAGTTCGAGACTGTTGGTGAGATGTCTCAGTCGCGTAGGTGCATCCACACTGTGACCTTTCAGATCCATTACTCATCTATTTTTCTGCCACTTATTTTAGTCACAATACTTCTGAAAGTACATAAGAAGGTGGAGAAAAAAAGGCTAAGCGATTATAATAAACATTAAGGTATGAAAGACAGAATAAGTACATGGAGAATGATAACCATTTAGTGGATCTGGGAAACCACACAGGGTGATTGCATCTGTGCCATATATATATTGAATCTTAGCGTTACGAGTAGTGCAACCAGGCAGTCGACACCACCTATAAGGCTCAAACCAACAGTTAGTCTATAGATCGACGTCGTTATCAACCCAATCCTATGTCAACTAACACTGCTTGAAGAGGGATGAGATGCAACTTAACTTTACCGACTGATTTCCCCTCATTAATTAGTAGTAGGTCTAAATCCAGTGTTAGACCATGTTATATCACCTAACACCTGAGAAACAGTTAAGTGCGGCTAGCCGTTTGATATCCCACTTTAAATTGCCATGTATTCGAGAAGTAATATAAGACAGAAGAAACCGTTGCACAGCAGAAAGTGGAAGATGTGAAAAGGCTAGCTCTCTTTGATCATAGGTGTCCGCATTCTATCTACCGCGGTATAATAGGGTGAATAATATTAAGGTTAGGCGTCGAGTGCTAGGTAAGGAGAGAAAGTCAAACGATAAGGTTGTGAATTTACGCCGTTTGAGATGGCTAGGGCGTGTGTTAGGCATGCCTAACTTAGCCATCACCTTCCTCGACGGGTAACGTCAGCTGACATAAGATCAGGTTGGAAAGGAGCTAGTCGTCAAACCAAAACATGCGATGAATCAATAAAATCCATAACAGTTCGTTTAGGCCATATTGGGAAGTGTAGACTTCCTGGTTGGGGTTCTCGGGATGGTATGGCACACCTGAAGACAATTGGTGATATGACTCAAAAAAGTCATCAATGATGTAGATGCATTCACTCTTTATGGGTTATAATATTCGACTGAATGATATTGTTGTTCCATATTACTACTCTTTTTCCCTAATATCTCTGCCCATTATCTCTTTTTTGAATCTCTCTCCTCTCTTCTCTTGCGTTGTGTGCCACATGGGGTGTGGTAACTGAAACTGATGCATCTCTGTGGAAAGTTCTGCGTTGAAACCAGTCAGTCAGTCTCAGTAGACACCCACATTAGGAGTACCTCAGTGATTTCAGTTGACGAGTGCCATATATATATACAGAGAGCGATACAAAGTCAAACCATGAGAGCTTAAACAGCATTTGAATCTTCTTGAATATGTATGCTATTTAAATGCACTTAATGTTCGATTATTTTCATAGTTATTGGGTAACATTTAAGTCCATATTATTAGCAACCCAAAGAATGAACAATGAAGGACTGTGTCAGGTAATGTTATGCCCAAGAAGATGAGCAAGCACTGTCTGAGAAGCAACAAATAGATAACTGTTCGACAATCAAGATATGTAAATACATGTAGTGTCCTGTTAACTAATATGTACATTATACATAAGCGGTATCCTTCTGTGTAAATGCTTGATACTCATTCTCCTGCGAGTTGCAATTGTATGGAGATAATAATCTGGTGCTGGTGTCCAACTTGTAACAAAAAATATTAAAACGTTTATCATGCTTTTAGTGATATATATCATATCGACCTACAGGAACACTAGAAGCAATATATATTGCTAGAGACTTTGGGAACAGATCTACCGCACCTCTAACTAACATGGCATGCCGCGATAACACCTGCAACTCTTCTGCACATCATCCCGAAAATGTAGCACTCAAAGTAGCTAATGTATCGCCAACGACAAATGTGGCAGTTATTAAGCGTTACACCAACGCAACAGTGGCATACTCAAGAGCTTACCTGGACACTCCATGTATATTTACTTAGCTTCTTAGTCAATGTAAAGTAAAATTCCATCGTTTACAGTTGACATAAAATTGACGCCAGCGGACAATTAAACATTCTACGGAACCGAAAACCTGGCACTCGTAAATGCGCCTGAAAATGAGAGCAACTAGTTAAAACACATCACTCTTGAATGTGTCATGACATTAAGTGTTCACACACGCTGTTATCTGATGGCAGTGCCTGTTTTTGGTGTCAGTTGGACTTCTCTTCTTCACTGTTCACTTGATCTGTGTGCGACTAAATTTCCAACCAACATTACCACAGAATTGAGATGGTTGCAGGCAATCGGCAGGAAGCCTTGGACGTAGGTTTCGTGCTAGTTGGCACTCGTCAGCAAAGCGCACATGCAACCTTGAAGGAACTCATGTCCCTTCTGAGATTCGAACACGCGTCACCCAGTGCTGCAGTAAGAGACGTCTCAGGAGGGACATGAGTTCCTTCAAGGTTGCAGATACGCCTAGCTGACGAGCGCCAACTAGCACGAAACCTAGGTCCAAGGCTCCCTGCCGATTGCCTCCAACCATCTCATACCAACAAATCAATGTGCACCGTGATGGCGAGCTAGCTAGAATGGTGGTCACATTACAACCTGACTGAGAGAATTCAGTCAACATCAATCGGAGGACTAGACGCATCACACTGGTTACTAGTGTCAAATCAAAATTACCACAGGTTATTGATTTCCCCAGCATAACACTAGCTTTTACAGCACTGAAACCAACAATTTTTCATGAGCTTTTTTATTACAGACATATCAATAAACTAAAGGACTCTCAGGTCGACAGTGATGACAGACTGTGTATCCGTAAAACTTCCCAGTTTATGTATTTATCCAAAGGAAAGTAGTTAAGTTTCGTCTCTTTCACCACGCATTTCTGGGAAGAATGATCTCGCAACCTAATGTGTGCCTTTGCCTAGACTCTATAGCGTTATGCTATACTACACTGGGTTTTTGATAGATAAATCACACATTCAAACATTGCTATATACTTGATGGCTTTTCGAACACAGATCGTTTTTTTCTAACTTTATCTAATTTTCACGCAAACCATTTATCTGCAGATATGGCCTTATTCGGCGTATGATATCCGCTGTCGATTTCCAAATTTTTTCGCAACACTGTCCACTAGAATCTTGATTTCTTTATTTGGTCACCTTATATACTAAAATAAGCCATTTCCAAGCATTTGAATTCGTCTGTCACAATCATTAACGCCTTAGTCTGATTTCATAACCTCTGTATCATTATGGTTCTCAAGGTTACTTGAATACTTAGTTTATGGATGCGTTAACTGTATTCCTCTCTTTTCTTTCACTGAATATAACCGCAGGTTGTGCTGCAACTTCATCTGAAGTGATCCTACCTGCCGCAATTTTCACTTCAGGAAATCCTCATATTTAGACTTACATACTGGCACACAGAAGGCGACGGCACAGCTCGCCAACCGCTCATGTGGTTCGATTCTCGATCCCCTATCAACACACTCCTTTTCCTCTCTAGGCCAGTAATATGACTGGTAGAGAGCAAAAGCTGCGCTTGAGGCTAGCAACCTCGCCCTGTAAAAATAAACACCACGGCCATTGAAACTTCAAAGCTCTAGCTTGAATCCCTAAGTCCTACTTGGAACGTAAAGGAATAAAAAGCCGGCGCATAGAAACAGCTCATTTTCAAATACGCTTATTTCCGGAAAACTTTGTCAGGGATCTGATACCTCACTTCGGCCTGCCGATCGCTGACTGACTGATTGTCAGTCGAAAGAGATTTTCCACTTTTCAGTTGAGTTTCGGCAACGTTCGACTTCTTTAAACTGTTAATTTGGTGATGGTTTGAAGATTCTATCACGCCACCATAATTCTCGTCGTTAGCTATTTCCACTAGTTTTCGCTACACAGAACATACAGCCATCGACAGTCATCTGTGATCCTAAATCTGCTTTACTCAATAATACATCTAAAAGATAAATTTAGGTGAAGTTTCTTTATTTTTTTATAAAAAATAAAATAAAAAATAAATAAGGGATTCTGAAATAATAACAACCTCAGGCTTGTATATGCACCAAGCGAGCTACTGCTCATTTCCAACTTCAGAAGCACGAAAGAAGACATGCATATGTATTTTATTACACTTTGAAGTTACTCTCCATGAGATTGCTTTCAATGAAGCGTGTATGTAGTACTTACCTGGATTTCGATTGTTCATCTCCTGGGTACAGTCCGCCGCAGGTAGCGCGATAAAGCGTGGGTTGCCGCTCAATTTTGGTGATGGCAGCTTAACAAACTTGAATTTATATATGAACCTGCTCTAGTAGCTTAAATTAAAATTTAACTACTTAAACTGCAGATACAGTACCAAGTAGCCAGTATTTTGCGATTGTAATTTATACCACTTCGGATCACGTGTGTAAAAATGGCATCTGTTTTGTATAGATTTATTGATTTATATGAGACGTACAGCATTATTGCCGTTTACGATGTGCAAATAGGGATATTTTTGCCAGATCGATCGACAGTGCAGCAGAACAACACGAAAGCTCACTTCTACACTAAATAAATACTTCTTTGAAAATGATCTTAGAATTGTTTGCAGAGAGAAAAAATTTGTCATACCGTGTTTCTGTGTTCACTCTGCACATCCCGAATTATTGTGCTTATTCAGCATAATTATTGCTGCGTCAATACCTTTCTTATTTTTTTAGTTGGTTTGTTTCTTTACTCAGCAATCTTCACTTGAAATTAACCACCATCCATAAACCTGGTTGGAATACACAGTCTAGCTTCCTCACCACGCCATTTGAAGTAAATCTAGATAAACTGTCTTCTTTGTAACCGCGGTATCTTCACTACTTGCAAAACATTGCCGCTTCTTCTGTTATACCTCTTGGGTCATCTGACTACAATTAACCCAGTTGCTGAAAATCGAATTGGTCTACTTCCTCCGCTACACTGCCAGTCTCGAGTCATAATCACTCAATTTTCTGTTGTATAAGTCTAATCGCATGAGAATGGTTGAAACTCACTGGGAATTTATGATAGATTTACAACTCTCTCTTAAGATAATCTATGTTGCATAACCATTTCATGCCCCCTTTATCTCTTCGTCATCCCTTATTTATGTATTAAAAGCAGTCCTCGAATGCAGTATTAGCGATTATCGCTGTGAGTGATACCCAACAACACGAACAGTCGCATCTACATATACCATAAATAACTATGATAGATGGACACTTCACAAAGACAAAAGTCTTAAGATAAATTGGGCTCCATACCTGTTCATGGACTTCCTAATGGAAATGGTAAGGTACGTCCCAATTCCTCCAAGTAAAAACACTAACTTTGAATAAAATATCGGTCAAAACTGCATGATTTCTGATGTGGCCCTAGAAATTTCTTTATCCTTTGAGCCTTTCATAATTCTATGATGCTTAAAGTAAACAGTTTTTTGTTTAAATGTGCATCTGTCTCCCAGATAACCAGTCCGGATTATGTGCATTATTTCTTTTTAATATGTATACTACCCTACAGTTTTTTGTAAACCAATACTGCATCCATTGTGCATCCAAAATGGAAGCACATAATAAATCTCCAGATGCTGTTCTAAGTTCAGCATTTATCATAGCTTTCCCAGTGGGAGAGAGCGACTTTATTGCATATCCCTCAATGACGCTTGTTGCTATGTTGCTATTGGTTTCAAGTGGCCTTGGTTTTGGGGGAAGATTTAACTGATGTAATATTGCTATATCGTAGACATAACTCAGGCTCATAGGTGAAAAAATTATAATCCTGGAATAAGGACAAGTTGTTCAGAAGGTAGGACGACATTATTTTTCAGTTTATTTGCATATATACTATTGTGTATCGAGTTGCGTTGAGTTCTAAGTGCAACTGCATGCAACTGCATTTACATAAAGTAAAACATAACGAATTCTCCTGTTTTTAAAATAAAAAACATGATACTTTTCATTAAGTGTAGTAATGAAGAACGGAATTTCTTCCACGTTAGTGTATTTAATTGATGGCCAAAGAATCCCCTCTGCACTTTTAAAGACAGACTCGTAGAAGGTGGCCAAGTAACTATTGTTAGAGCCACGTGGTAACGATTTTGAGCTCGGATGCTTGCATACTTTTAGCAGTGCATGGGAATCCCACGGGGTCTATACCATGTTTTCCCATAGTTGTCGACAGTAACAGGATTGTATGAGGATACCTCCTGCAATCCCAGGACTTTTACTGACTTAGGAGTAAAAACAGACATGATTCTATCATTCTTAAATTGATATCGATCAACGACTGCAACATGGTTCAACTACTCTGAATGTTAAATCCATAAAAAGTTTGAAAATGAAACGAAAATCTAGGTAACTTGGCAGGAACACTAAAACTCAGCTCTCAGTTCGCCAGGAGCTCAAAGACTGTTGCTTTGTTAATTTTTAATAGGTTATCAACACTTCAACGAAATATGCTGTCGTTGGAAACAGGAAACTCGCATTCTTCTAGTATAATGTTATCATTATGAAGGAACGTAAATGCATTCGGCAAGTACCTCGGAGCGTTTTGTATCTATTTATTTGGGATGACTAACCACTATGAGTTGCATGCTTTCCGATATAAAAATAAATTATCCCATTTAGTGAGTGGGCCAACCGAGACAGACACCTAACCGAGATCATGTTCACATACTTTCTCTTTCTGGTATTTTGCCGCTGCGCTTACTCTTTATCTTCTGGTCGAGGTCGAACAACCCTCCATTTAAACTGAAATGAAGCTGGACTCCAGATCATTTACTCGTATATGATTCCTCAAGGGTTGTCTAGTAATGACTCAGAATCCTTGATAAAATCCACGGTCAACATAACAAGACGCTGTACAGCATCCTTTATAAGCACTGTCAACGATCTAAAATGGTTTACATATAACATTCTACGTGTTAATGAACTTACTTGTAAGGAACAACCATGCAGCGGCAAATGGCGGCCTT